CTATAGCACAGCGACAGTCCTACTTAATACTCTCTCCATTATTTTACTTATACCACAGAGCCTCTGGGGGGTAGGGAGACTGAAATGTAATAGAGTGGTTAAGTAAATTGCATAGAATACACATGTAGGAAAAGAGATTACATCCTATGTTTTTGCCTGTTGTATACCTATCCTGATCCATTAGAGTTGACAGGTTAATTGTTCAATTGGCTAATCCTTTCCCTGCAAGAACTAGAATCCCATGTGGGTACTACTGGTTCATGTCCCAGCTGCACCACTCCTTTTTTTTTTATGATTTACTTATTTTTATTGGAAAGGCAGACAGAGAGGAAGAGCTTCCATTTGATAATTTACTCCCCAAGCAACTGCAACAGCTGAAGCTGAGCCAATCCGAAGCCAGGAGCCAGGAAATTCTTCTGGGTCTTCCATGCGGGTGCAGGGTCCCAAGGCTTTGGTCCATCCTTGACTGCTTTCCCAGGCCACAAACAAGGAGCTGGATGGGAAGAAGGGATGCCAGGATTAGAACTGGCATGCATATGGGATCCCAGCATGCTCAAGGTAAGGACTTTAGCTGTTAGGCTCTCTAGGCTATCACGTCGTTCCCTAGCTACTCTATTTCTGATCCATCTGTCTGCTTATGACCTGGGAAAGCAGTAGAGAGTGGTTCAAGTCCTTGGGATCCTGCACTAACGTGGAAGACCCAGAATTGTCTCCTGGCTCCCAGCTTGGGATTGTCTCAGCTACAGTTATTGAGGTCATTTGGGGAAAGACTTTGCTACAACACTGTAAAAGATCTTTCTCTGTCTCTCCTCTCTGAAAATCTTCCTTTCCAATGAATATAAATATATCTTAAAAGAAGAAGAATTGATAAGTTAAGCATGTTGGGTCATGGAGAATTTCAGTATATAGTAATTGTTGAACAAGAGTGTATACAAATGTGAAAATAAAAACTCATGGGCCTAAAGAAAGAGATTAGGCATTAACTGGGCATTTTTAAAAAGCTTTGCTTTTATTAGAAAGGCATATCAGATTTACGAGAGACAGAAGGTAAGATCTTCCATCTACTGGTTCCTTCTCCAAATGGCCAGAATGGCTGAAGCTGAGCTGATCCTAAGCCAGGAACCTGGAGTTTCTTCCCATTGGAATGTCAGGCCCCAAAGCTTTGGGCCATCCTCTACTGCCTTCCTAGGCTGCAAGCAAGGAGCTGGATGGGAAGTGAAGCAGCCAGCACATGAACTAGCGCTCACATGGGATCTTGCAAAAGTGAGGATTTAGTAAAAAATCCTTTAGCAAAAGTGAGGATTTTGTAAATTGAGGATTTAGCCATTGAGCCATCATGCCAGGTCCTATCTGGAGAATTTGAACTGCAGGGTATAGAAAAGACACACACATAAGTAGTATTTGAATTGGAGTTCGAAGGCTAAATATCAGAATGTTTCACATCAGTAACTACCATGAGAAGCAATAGAAACCACTAAAGAGAGTCTAACATAATGATGCTCAATTAGGTAACTGGTAAAGGAAAAACCCAAAGAATCTCAGAGATAATAATTGCAGGAGCCGCTGACTCCCCTAGAGCTTGAGGGTGTCAGAGGGAAGAGGATGAAGTGGTCAAAATAAAAACTTAAAGGAAGGGTATGCAGAACTCAAATTTCCACCTCACAGGAGGAAGTTTTGCTTGGTAGTTGCTGGACTGGGTTGGGGCCTAGCCTGGTGCGTACTAGAACCCAGATGCATGGTGTGGCAAATAGGACTGGTTTGTACTGGGACTGGAAGTGGCAAATAGGACTGGTTTGTACTGGGACTGGAATAGGGCAAACTGGATTCAGTGCTCTAATTGGGGGGAAATACCACTGCTCGAGGGAAGTTTTTCTGTAAGGCTATTCATAGGAACAGGAAGCAGGAAGGAGGCTGGCACCCTTCCCCTGCTGGTTTTGCAGCATCTTTAGTGGTCTCCAATGAAGAGTCTAATAGAGAGCCAGCAGACAAGGGAGAGAGGTTGCCTACAGAGTCTCAGGCTCAGAATCATTAGGCAGAAGTGAGGACTTGGAGCTGAGGTAACATCTGTCTCCAGGTGGCCATAGCAGCCAGAGCTGAGCTGATCTCATATGAAGACAGGGGGAAGGAGCTTCTTCCAGGTCATGTATGTGGGCCCCTATCCAAGGACTTGGGCCATCCTCTGCGGCTTTACCAGTTCATTAGCAGGGAGCTGGATGGAAAGTAGAACAGCTGGGATTGGGAAGTGGTTCCCCATGCTTATAGGCAGAGGAGTATTAGCTTGTTAAGCCACAACACCAACCTCCTTAAGTGATACACTAATAAATACACAATAAAGTTGAGAAAATTTGGGGTAATTCTTGGGAGGCCAGTGTTCCATACTGGAGTACCTAGGTTCCCATCTCTGCTCTGCTTGGCATATCAGCTTTCTGTTGAAGTGACCCTGGGAGGCTGCAGGCGATGACACAGGCACTGGAATCCTGCCCAGGTGGGGACCTGACCTGAGCGGCACACTCCTAGCTTTCATCCTGCTCAGCCCTGGATATTGCAGACATTTAAGTTAGAGACACAGGAGCTCACTTTGTCTCTTGTTCTTTGATTTTTAAACAAAACAGAAATGGATATAAAATTGAGAAAAATAGCTTATATGAAAGACGCGACGATTTAAAGACAATATAATCTGTCCAACTGAATTTTTGAAATATTTATCTTATTTATTGGAAAGGCCTGCTAACAAAGAGGGAGACAGAGATTTTCCATGTGCTGGTTACTTCCCCAAATGGCTGTAATTGCCAGAGCTGGGCCAATCCAATTCTTCCAGGTCTCCCATGTGGGTGCGGGGTCCCAAGGCTTTGTGCCATCTTCCACTGCTTTCCCAGGCCACAAGGCATAGGAGTTGCAAGAAAAAAAGATTGGGCCCAGCGCGGTGGTGCAGTGGTTAAGGTCCTCGCCTTGCACGCCCAGGATCCCATATGGGTGCTGGTTCTAATCCCGGCAGCCCCGCTTCCTTCCAGCTCCCTGCCTGTGGCCTGGGAAAGCAGTCAAGGACGGCCCAAAGCTTTGGGACCCTGCACCCGTGTGGGAGACCCGGAAGAGGCTCCTGGCTTCGGATCGGCATAGTATCGGCCCGTTGTACTCACTTAGGTTGTGAATCATCGGACAGAAGATCTTCCTCTCTGTCTCTCCTCTCTGTATATCTGCCTTTCCAATAAAAAAATAATAAAAATAAATCTTTAAAAAAAAAAAGAAAAAAGAAAAAAAGATTGACCATTAGTAACTACAGCATGGCTATGAACCTTACAATGAAACTTTTCTTAGCCATGTGGAAAATTAGCCTGAGAGGCAAAAATGCCTCCTATATTTTTGTTGTGGTTGTGAATTTCTGTATTTTAAAAGCAAAGTGAGAGAAACAGAGCTCTGTTCCATTTGCTGGTTCCCTTTCTAAATGCTGGCAGCAAGGAAATAGCAGTTCAGTTGAGTTCTGCCCTCTGGGTGACAGGGGCCCACATAGTTGCCATCATCTGCTGCTTTTCCAATTGCATTAGCAGGCATCTGGATTTGAAACCCAGCAGCTAGGGATCTGAACCAATGCCCTGAATGTAGGATACTGACCTCCAAGTCCAGGCTTAATTCACAGCATCCCAATTTTAGCCCTGAGGCAAAGCTTCCTAAGGTATTACATTTTCTCTAAGGAATCTTGTCTAGTTAATTCCTGGCCAGGCATGTTACTAATATTGTGCTACTTATTGTTCACTTGTATTCGTTTATTGAGCATCCACTTAGCTAGTTTCTCCCTGCTAAGATTTGGAAAGCCAGTGATCATTGCTGACCTGGTTATTCTCAAGAAGCTTAATCCAGCTACTAACAACATCACTCACTCCCTCCTGTCTATGGGAGGAAATGAAAAGATCTTCTCTGCACTGCTAATTTTCCAGTCCAAGGTCACATACTGTTGTAGCAGCTTCATGAACCAAGGTCTTATTCAGTCTTTTTTTTTTTTTGTCTTTATTAAGAGACTTCTGTAAGACTTCAAATTTTTTTTTTTTAGGTATTATCTTTTTTTTCCCCATATTTTTTAAAAATCTGGAAGCAAAAGCCCTTAGTGACACCTATGCTCCCCCCCACCCCCAGTATTATCCAAATAAGGGTGACTTTTCAAACTGTCATGCCTCTGGGAAACTGCAGGGGCTAGGAGCCAATCCCGGGGGGAAGAGGGACATTTCTGAATAGTAATAGCAATCCCGACACAAGATCAAACTAAACTACGCGGCCCAGGGGCTGGTAGGCGAAGGTAAACTGAATTTGATGTTCCCCTCTCCCCGCCCAGTTCTGGTTTTTCCTGCACCATTTCCGAGGGTGTTTTTTAAGCCGACCTCCGGGTTCCACCTCTACCCGTGATTCCAAATGTTGGGGGAAAAAAACCCCTCCATTTTTATCGTATCCCGCTAGGATGGTGTCTCCCCGCCTGCTCTTACAGGCTATTCCCTCCATCCTCATCTTCGGAGGATAACGTCAATACCATGGATTTATCCTACCGCCCTGTGGCCCAGGCTGCCTGATGGCGACCTTGACAGCCATCGAGGCGGGAGGTGGCGGCGGGGGAAAGGGGGTGTGAGCTATGCGGGAACAAACCTTCCAAGCGCTCTGAGGAGGCGCCACGAGAACGCGCCGAGCGCTCGAGGCCAGTCAGCTCCGAGTCTCCGCAAAGATTGACAGATTCTGCGCCAACGGTCTTTGCGCTAGAGACTTGCGCTGTATCGCGAGACTTCTGGCCCCGAGCCGGAGCGTTGGGGGAAGAGTCCGGCAGCCCTCCGAATGGGGGATGGGAACATCTGTGGCGCAATCCTTGCGCGAGATTAGGCCCTAGTCGGTGGGCCTCCTCCCCCTCCAACAGACTGAGATCTCGCGATATTTCGGCCTCTCCGGGCTAGAACTCAGGGCTGTTTCTCGCGAGAGCCCTTGCTTCAGGCCCTGTGAAGCCCCGTGTGTTTGTGTGTGAGTGTGTATGTGTTGGTGAATGTGAGTACAGGGAAGCAGTAGCAGCCGCCATTTCAGGGAGCTTGTCGACGCTGCCGCAGGGGTGGATCCTGAGCTGCCGAGGCCGCCGTCCTGCTCTCCCGCGCGGGCTCCTCTAATCCCATTGTTTCTTCTAGATTCGCTCGGGCCTAGCCGCCCTCGGAGCCCGATATTCGGGCTGGGCGGCACCGCGGCCTGGGCCTAGGGGCTTAACTGTAGCGGCAGCGGCGGCGGCGGCGGCGGCAGCAGCATCGGAAGCAGCATTAGCAGCCGTAGCTCCTTCTCGATTACGAGCAGCACAGGCGCCCGAGAACCCGCACAGGTACGCAGGGGTGGCGGACTCGATTGTGGTGGCGAGAGCTTTTTGGAGGTTAGGTTGCCTTAGGGACGAGGGGTTGGGGGGGGGGGCATCTCTCGAACGAATATTGGGAAGGCGGCCGGGGGTTGGGGTTGGCGGGATGGAGGCTGTTACGGTTTTTGAGAAGTCGACACGCGGCCGCACCCTTTGGCTTTCGGCAAGAGTCGGGCTTGTTGGTGTGGTAACGACCCTTGAAAGGTGTCGGGCAGATGGCGACCGGTTGCCTTCGGGGCCTTGGCTGACGCCGACTTCCCAACATGGCGCCAGGCGAACGCTGCCTTGGCACACGGCACCCCTCCCGGCAGAGGGAGTTTCCCTTTGCCCCTAAAATGGCAGCGCGGGGTTTGCGCGGAAAGGGCGCTCTCCCTGGTGGCTCTCAGGTTCTGGATTTTTTCTTTTTCTTTTTTCTTTAAATTTTTTCGTTTGTTGTTTTGTGTTGAGATCAAATCTTAGAGAGTTTGTATGTTTCGTGTTTGGTCCCAGGCGTTTTCGGATTAGCACGATCTAAGCCTGCAGAAAGTGTGTTGTTCGGCTCTGGAAGGTTTTTTGAAGTTTCGCAGCGTATCGATTAAAAAAGAAAATTAGAATCTCCAGGAAAGGGTCCTCACAGAATTGTCTTGTCCTTTCCCAGCTGTTTAGAGAAAATGGCAGACGATATTGATATTGAAGCCATGCTTGAGGCTCCTTACAAGAAGGTGAGAAAAAACATGTTGGTGAGGTTTTTCTATTTTCTTAATTTAGCATTATTCACGAAACTACTGCTGAAATGTAAACTAACCTCCCCGGAGTCCTCTTGATTTATCTTATCAGAGATGCATTACGTGTAACTTACAAAAGTAAATATATGCTATTGATGTAATAATATTGTGCAGTAGTTTCACTTCAGCGTGATGAATAAATGCCCATCTATCTCTCTTTGTAGACTTGCCTAACGATATCTCACCTCTACTCCCATGAATTCACCTTTGATTCCAGTGTGAACTGTCAATCATAAGGTAGTAATTGAGTGACTTATCGCTGTACCGTGGTCCCCTAGGTAAAATGACTCAACTAAGAATTACCAGCTCCAGTTTGGTATAGCAAAAAGGTGAATGTAGTGGTTTGGGAAACAGCAGGGGTCCAAGAATAAAAAAAAGCATAACCAGTCTGTGACAAGTAAATCTCCAATAATCAGTCTCATGAGAAGAAGTGGGTGAGATTTTTAAAACTCAAGTACCAGACTGGTGACAGTAAATTTTTAAGCAGGCAGGTGGCGATCTGCTGCTCAGTTAATAATTACTAAATTCTTGGATCCCTGAATAGAAAAAAATCTAAAACAAGAGACAGTATCACAGCTTAGAGTCACTTGATGACTGTTTTACTGTTCTCCATATTGTTTTATTTTCATTTAGGCCCTACCATAGTATTTCACACTAAAAACTACAAAGGAATTGTTTTGGCTAATAAGATCTTTGACCCATTTCAGTATCAGAGTAAAAGTAAACTGTCTTTCATTCTTTTCACCAGTTGGTGGTGAATCTAGCAGCATGCATGCATTATCACTTGTATCACAAACTGTAAAGCCTTGTAAAATTAGCAGTTATACTCCTATAGCTGATGTGATCGAACTTGAAACATTGCACTAAACCTTTTTAAAATAATGCATTTATTTTTTGAGCGTATAGCACGACCATGTGGTACCAATTTGGATGAATTCTTGTTAGCTTTAAATAACTTAGTTTTGTAATGCTTGTACTCTTGAAGCGCTACTTTCTGTTTGAGTGTTAAGATTCTTGTGCCTTAGTGTAACATGGATGTAATTCCATGTAAACAGGTATGGAAGTAGAAAATGTTTAGGCTGGACTGGTGGATTATTAATTGACTTTCTTGGGTTCTTGGGAGTCAACATTACTAAAGCAGTGTGAATCCCTGTTTGCTTCAGGGCGAGATGTGTGACAGAGGTGGCATCAAGCTCTTACAGTCCCAACCCTCCAACGGAAATGGGCGAAGATCTCAGGAATGGCATCGGTCACAGGAAATCGATAGTGGCTGGCTGCTAGCATGGCCACATGGGGCTTAGGCAGAAATAGAGCCATGGTACTGACGAAAGGGAACATAGAACAAGGAATAAGACTCAAGAAAGGACTTCCTTCGTGTTTTATAGATTTCATTTAACCACTGCAACATTGTAAATCTGGATAACTTATAAACTAAATAAGAAAATAAAATTTGATATGCTAATGTGGAGATGTTCCTTTTTCTATCTTGATGGCTTAATTGTAAGCAACAAAGTGGTTAAACATACCCATCTAAATTTTTTTATAGCTTTCCATATTAAACTATAAGCAAATAATTAGTTTTAAAATTGTTTTGTATTTTCTTATTCCTGTTCCCTTTACCCTTTGACAACTTGAAATGTTACCACTTCGTCCTCATGATGTTCTTCTATCAACCCTGCTTAGGATGAGAATAAGTTGAGCAGTGCAAACGGCCATGAAGAACGTAGCAAAAAGTAAGTTGCAAGAAGGGACTTGGGAGAGGGGTGAACTTAATGTGGCTGAATTCTTGCATTGTGACTCTGTGGCTAAGACCAAACTGAGTTTCTCTTCTGAAGTTTTTCTTGACTCGTAAATTAATGATTTTCCTTATGGAATAAGAAGCTCTGAGGATATAAAACTGGACTTTAGTGCCTGGATTTCAAGAATCCTCTAGACACATTTCTCTCAAAGGTCATCGTAATAATCTGGTTAGGATTTCTTGTGTTAGACTTTTTTGTTTTAAATTTATACTTTTGCTTAATATTGTCAGGTAAAACTATATACATATCTGTTACAAAGAAAAGATAACCTAGACAGAAATAATCAGAAATCGTGTGAATTACTTATGACACTTGCTGCTGAAAGGCATTTCTTTTATAGTAAGGTGATAGCAAACTTAACCTACTTAATGTAGTTTTTGCTTTATACCTTTTAAAGTCTAGTGTAGACTTTATAGAATGTAGGTTTTTAAATTATGAACATTTAGACAATTTGAGAGTTTCTGATGAGTAACTCACGTAGGAGCTCTAATATAAATTACTATATGAATGCAGTTTGTAGTTTGAAACCAATTTCTTTTTAAGATTGGATCCTAACAAATCTTGAAGTTTCAACTCTAAGGTCAGTGAATCTTCACACCATGTGGTCATGTTTTAAACATTAAATCGTTTTGCTGTGTTTATGATGTTCTGTCACATTCATGACCTCATAATAATCAAGAAGTGATAAAATAGTCATTTATTTGAGTCTCTGTGGTTCTTTTCCTTCTAAAAACTCAATGTCTTATAGTAAGTATCTCAGTCATGCTCAAAACAAATATTAAGTTGGTTATAGCTTCAATAGCCGATTAAAATCTCAAGTAGGTGAGAAAAATGGTCAGATTGGATTATTCAGGGCTTATGAAACCAGTGTTCTGTTGTATTGCCCTAAAATAATGCAGTAATAAATTTAAAATAATAATGACCTAGTTTTTTTCTACTATGGGTGGGAGATTGTATTTTTAGCAGAGATGTGGGGGTTAGGTTGGATTTAGTCATGTATTGTGATTTGAGACAACTAGTCATTGCAGATTTATGATAATCTGACTTTTGAACTTTTAGCAAGGTTTTTCTAACATTTTCTGTATTAGAAAAATGTAATCCCAACAAAACCCAGCAAGAGGAATGTTACCTACTTTGATGGACTTAATATCAATGATGTCCAATATCAATGATAGGCCTAGTAGATGAATAGTTAGAATGAGACGAAATATTTTTGGGTGCAGAATTTGATTACACCATTTGATGTCATCACTCGCCAATAATACCATCTCCAGATTGTACTCATTTTTATTATGTGTTCATGTGCATTATGGGTCCCCAGTTTTTACAGGGAAATGGAACAGCAGGCTGAGAAGTGTTCAGTGGCTATTGTCTAATGCAAAGTATTAGGGACTAAAGAATGGACAGTTTATGTTAGTCATGCAATTGATTGTTCAAGGAAGACACTTTCTAGACCATGTAATGTTCTTTGAAAATGTACACACTTTGAAAATGTTTCATTTATAGCTGACTAAATGATTCCCTAATTAGTCAGGAAATTATCACTCATTTTTTGTAACAAAAAAAATTTCAGGGATACATAAAATATAAGATATAGAAACATGCCATTTTGCATTTTTCACCATTAAACTCCATTGTCTTTAAAGCTATTGAATGTTATACAGTTTGTACGGTAGCTAAAAAGCACCTTTTTAAGAAATATTTGACTTAACTGTATATATGGTTTCTTAAAAAAACGAATGTTGATTCTCAACATATCATGTACTGTAGTAACATTAAGTTTGGCATAAACCAAGTCATCAGGATGTTTTCTGAAGAGCTATAACCTGTGAGTTTGGTAAGCTCTCAAAGGATGGTTTTTTTAGTCTCTGAGGTTGCCTTCATGGGAGTACTAATTATTAGTGTATCCAGTTTTGCAACCTCTAAGCCAGCATTAATTCTGTTAACCTCTAGAGAATTACTCAAAAAAAGGATGACAAAAAGTGACACAGTTGAAATAATATTGGCTACTGTGGTGTGATTATCTATAAATTTTGGGATAAATGACTTTTGTATTTTTTTTTCTTATTTTCCAGAACACTTTGCATTTAAAATTTAGATCTTCGTCAAATCCAGTTATAGCAAAACACCTTACAGCAGAGGCCATATAACCAAAAAGTCCAAAGGCCCAGCCCAGTGGACCATTTACTTCAATGATGTTCAGTACAAATCCCCACTGCCACTAAAGACTTTGGAAAGTCCCTTTTAAGTTGTAACAGGATTTGACTATTAGTGAGGATTTCGATAACTGTTAATGTTTTCTGAAGTTGAAATTTGTTATAGAGAAGTACACTGGTTTTGTGTACCCTTCAATTTTTGAGCTTTTATGCCGAATGTATTTTCTGATTGTGTTAGTATGCTGTGACTTTGAGTGGGGTTGCCTTCAGATGTGGGTGGGAGCTTCTATACAAAAGTTACTTCAGATACCTTGAGTTTAAATTATTTTGCAATTTTGACAGTTACTGGACCTGTTAAGTCAATAGGGAAGTTGGATACCTCTGTGCTATGGCTGAACAGAGCAAAAATTTGCTGTTTTTATCTCTGGGAGATTGGATTGCATTTTATCTTGTCTCCTATTTGAATTCATTATGTTTAGGACTTTAGGTTTTAACCAACTCAGAATTTTCAAGTTTAAGAGAGAGTGTCAGGTTTTTCAGGCAGGGAAGATTGTTCTGTTGCCTTTCTGGACGTTGCTGTGATGACTTCCATATGAATAACGAGTGTAGCCTAATTTTCTGTCATGTGCTACCTAGCATATACATTTCTGACAGTCAGGTGGATTATCTTGAAATTTTAGACAAAGTTTCTGCCTCCTTGGAAAGCTCTACATCTCCTTGTGATTGGAGTGTGGGTTTCAAGATTCCAGAAGGTGGGTGTCTTCATTTTCTATTTCCCATGCACTCTAAGATAACCTGATTTTCAGGTTCTCTGAGGCAGACCTCCATTGTTCTTGTGTTAACTTTGCCTTGATAAGAACTAAAACAAAAATAAATTTTCAAATAATAATGTAGCATTATCAAAATGTTTGCTTTTTAAACCACTACAAGTTGACGGCTTAATGGATTAAGTTTATTTGAGATATTTTTCAATTTAAAATATCTGAAGGCACCTCTAAAATTTGGATGATAATAGATAGATTTTAAGATTTAAATTTGAAATGAGTGGGTAATATACTGTGAGGCATGGAAATTAACAGAAAGGTAAAATGGGATTTTTTTTCCACTTCTGAGTTTTTTATGGACATTTGTGAAGATGGAGTTTTTGATTGCACTCCATAGGCTTGTATATACTGGCTTAAAAATAGCACACTTTTTTTTTCTGGTTTATTATAACTAGAAAATATTTCAATGGGCTCATTCAAGTCTAAGAGTGTATAGATGTACTGCATTGGTTTGTACTCCTATTGTGTAAAAATCAAAGTGTTGATATTTTTGGTCTTTGACAGTATGAAAATATTTCCATGTGAATTGGGTCAAAATTTACTTTCAATTAAATTTGTTTACTTACTGAATTTTATGTGTGTACCAAGTAATTGGTGTAAATGTGATTTCTTATAACTTTGGCATCGTAGGTATATCTTGTGACTTACAGTAATGGTTGTTGGCCACATGGAACTAGATTTTGACTTATATCTGCCAACAAGTGTGCCTGGTTGAATTGTAGCCAACAATCAGTAAATCAGTATAGTTTGTGCTCTTAAGGATGAGTTGCAGATATCAAATAATCCCTTGGATGCTCATCTTTTCAGCAATATAAGGCAAAGATGAACTAGAGTGTTTACCATAACATGTGATTATGTATCTTATTATTCTCAAAAATACCAATTAAGTTTACAAATGGATAAATGATTTTGTAACCATAAAAGGAAATGTATTTTGGTCAGTTCTTAGCCAACATTATAATCATGATTTTTTTTTTCACTTAGGAGGAAAAAAAGCAAGAGCAGGAGTCGTAGTCATGAACGGAAGAGAAGCAAAAGTAAGGAGCGGAAGAGAAGCAGAGATAGAGAAAGAAAAAAGAGCAAAAGCCGGGAAAGGAAGCGAAGTAGAAGCAAAGAAAGGAGACGGAGCCGATCAAGAAGTCGAGATCGCAGATTCCGAGGCCGTTACCGAAGCCCTTAGTATGTATCTCTAATTTTGTTTTTGGTTTGACAGTGATTTTCTGAGTATTTTGACAGCAATGTGATTTCAAGGACTTGAAATGTCAAAAACATAATTGGCCAATGAAAACCTAAGGATATTGACATTGAAGTCTGGAGAATAAAAAAAGGATGGAAGTAAATAAAAATTTATTTTTCTAGGCATACAGCTTATTTCCTTTTACTCCATCTAAAAATTTAAATTGTATGCCTTTTTACACTAGCATTAGAATGCTAGAAGGACAAGTTACATGAAGTCTTGTCTGTGGCTGTTTTCAGCCACAGACCCTTTACAGATTTTTTGTAAGCTCCTTGATAAATAATTGTGCTCAACACAAACCTTTGATGTTTTTTAATATTCCACACTGAAATTATTTTAAAGATTTAGTAACTAGGAAATTTGGTAGCATTTTTAAACAATGGGAACAGCTTATTGTGATCATTAAAACACAACGTTGGAAAGAAACTGCAAGTAAGCAAGAGTTGAATCTTAGAGTCCTTGCTGCTTTATGATGGTATTTCCCCTAAAAGAAGCAGAATTGTTGCAAACCCTGTTCAGGGTCTGTTAAGCACTTCCAGTGGTTTGATGGAAAGTAGAAATAAGACTGAATCAAAAATGGCTCATTCACCAGGGCAAGTTGTATCACCCTGTATTCTTGTTCTGTTTATGTAAGAAAAAAAAATCTTGTATCCACTGATTCATTCCCACATAGTTGCTACAAAGTTGGAAGCTTTTTCCAGATCTTAGGTGTGGGTAGCAGGGACCTAGGTAGCTGGGCCATCTTCCGCTGCGTTTTTCATGCCATTGGCAGGGAGCTGGATTAGGAATGGCGCAGCTGAGACCAGTGTCCATACGGGATGCTTGTATGGCAGACAACATAATTACCTGTACTGGCACAACACTAGCCATTTCCTCATCTACTCAGAAGGGGACAAATTGCAGAAAAACCAATGAGTTATACTGGGAAAAGAATGCAAATAATAACTGTGCTTGGGGAAACGTGGGATTTATTTGAAGCCATTTGAAAGTAATAACAATGATTTCTGATTCTGACTTGAACTTTTAAATTTTTTTCTAAGATTTATTTGAAGTAACACAAGAGCCTTGGAGAGATAGAGCAAGATATACCATCTACTACTGCTTTACTCTCCAAATGGCCTTGGGGCAGCAGCGTGTACCATAGTCAGGTCACCCCATGTGTTGTGAGGCACAAGTGCTTGGGCCGTGTTACCTCTCTTTCCCAGGCCCTTTTATCATGGGAGCTGGATCAGAAGAGCAGCTGGATGCTGTATGGGATGCCAGCATTGCAGGAGAATCTTAAACTAGCATTGCTGCAACGCTCATCCCATGCTTTCATGTTCCTCTAGCTGATTATTTCATGAGTTTTCAGAGCTGAAAATGCAACCAAAATGTTTAATTCTGAATGTTATAATAAATTTCTTATTAATTAAGATTTACTGCATTCTGAATGCAATTATAATTTATTTTTTTTCAAAAGTGAATTAAATGAAATGGGAAGGGTATATTACCTGAATGATGAGACAGAATACTGTTCTGCTCACAATACTTGTAAATTGGCCTGGGATCATGGTTGGACTGTTAAAAAGTGTTTTAAAAATGCTGTAATATTGGAGCACATTTTTTTAAATTTTTATTTTACCTATAACAAGCTACTTTTATAATTAAATATACCTTATAAGCAAATATACCGTAGAGGTTCCTGTGTGTTCCTTAAGATGTGTATTATAAGTCACTGTTAGTCTGAATTGCAAATGACACATATACTGGAATAGGTTATATTTGAAACTGAGAGCTAATTGAAATGTGCATCATTTCATTTGGCTACACTTCTGAAATAGGAGTCAGATGAGCACTGATGGAGAGCTGATTAATACAGCTTTAAATTGGACTTGTTTTTAAAAGGCACACACAGCTGATATAGAACAATTTGCTTTGTGAGGTTTGAAAACACATAATTTCTGAGAAATTAGTGAAATTACCTTCACATATCTACTAAGAAATATTTTGGCACGAAGAGCTGGAATTTAATGTGATAAATAGATTATGTGGTCTAACAATTGCTTATACAGAGAAATTTGCTTCATGACTATATGCATTATTTCCTTTATTTTAAAAGTTTGGAAAAGCAATATTTATACACCATATGTTCCTCAGGAAAGACTTAGAGGAATACACACCAGCTTCTAACAATAATTATTGCTGATGTGAACAAAGGGGATTTCTTTTCAATTTTTGTGTTATGTATTTTTTGTTTCATGATTTTATCTATAAATACAAATAATTTTAAAGTGAAACTAAATCTTGAAAATGGGTCTAAAACATTTTCAGAATTAAAAATTTGAGGCAGTAACCTTTGGTCTTGGCACCTCTCAGTGGTCCAGGTTGGAAAAACATAAGGGCAGCTTGCCTGGGAGAGAGCTGAGTTTTTTTTTTGTTTTGTTTTGTTTTGTTTCCTCTTCATAATTGAGGTGGAAAAGAAGCAGCCTAAACAATGTTAAACTTGCTGGAGAGCGCATGAACGCGATCTTAGCAAGACCCTAAACCTGTAACTAGTGTAATTTTGTGTTTCCTTTTTAGCTCCGGACCAAAATTTAACAGTGCCATCCGAGGAAAGATTGGGTTGCCTCATAGCATCAAATTAAGGTTTTTAAACATACTTCTGAATTGTTTAAATTGTTTTTAAAGGAACTAATGTGATTTTACTTGTTTGAGTAACTTCTTAAACTTTTTACCTTTGCAGCAGACGACGTTCCCGAAGCAAAAGTCCCTTCAGAAAAGACAAGAGCCCAGTGAGGTAGCTGTTGTCCCTATATTACTTTTTTCTTCTAAGGTTTTGAAATTTATGCCACTGCTAAACTTAAAAAATATAACATGAAATATATTAAGTTTTGCTCTTACTTTGTTTTGTAGTACTATAGAGCTTTCAAATCAATATGAATTTCTGCCAAGTTTTCAATATCTTAATTTCATATAATTAATAAAGGAGCATACTGCTATTAATGTGCAGTGATTGCAAGTGATAAATTTATTTAACATTTTTAATGCCATCTAGGGAGAGTTAACCTACGGGCCCGGCATGTTAGCCTAATGGCTAAAGTCCTCACCTTGAAAGCACCAGGATCACATAAGGGTGCCGGTTCTAATCCCAGCTGCTCCACTTCTCATCAAGCTCCCTACTTGTGGCCTGGGAAAGCAGTGGAGGACAGCCCAAAGGTTAGGGACCCTGTACCTGTGTGGGAGACCTGGAAGAAGTCCTGGCTCCTGGCTTCTGATCGGCTTAGCACTGGCCATTGCAGTTGCTTGTGGAGTAAATCAGTGGACAAAAGATCTTCCTGTCTTTCCTCCTCTTTATTATATCCAACAAAAATAAATCTTAAAAATTAAAGTTAACCTACCTTTAGAAGAAACAAATCATGGGTTAATTGAAAGTATGTTCTTGAATGTTTCCATTAGTAACTTTGTTCGTAAATACAGTTTGCCATTTCTTCTGTGCTGGAAACATTGGAACATATAATAGTGTTATTCATTACAGATGACTTCCCTTAAAAGAACTTCTTTTCACAATTTATTCTGCTAATTTGTTGTAGTTTAAGTGCAGATTTTGTGAAAAATTAGTGAATTTGGAAGCTCAAATAACGGATTTAAAAGAAAGTTCACTCATTTGAATCTAATTCAGATTTGCTAGTTGTACCATAGTATCGGAGGTAGAATGAATTTTATGGGCTGGTTTGGTGAAACAGTCTGAGAATGCCTAGAATATGAATGCAAAAATATAAAGATTAACATAACTTTAACAGATAATGATAATAGATACTTATGAGAAACAGAAGTCTGTTCTGCTTTAACTTTTTGTTAGGTGCTTGAGTTGCCTTTGTAAGGTTGAAAGTACACCCTACTTGTAAGCCCTGCTACTATGAGTAAATGAAAGCCTACTGTTTTAAGTTTGCCTAAATAATTTAATGGTTTTGGTTTTTTATTTTAGTTGTAGTTACTGTCTCCTTATTCATTTAAGCATCAGGAGACTGATTAAGACACCAGGTTCGTGAAATCTTATCTTTGAAAGAGTTTAGAATAAAGGAAAGAGAACTTCATGGTCGATTGGTTGATGTTCAAGGAGGTTGCAACGGCTCAGCTGGATGAGGCCGAAGCTTGGAGCTTCATCTGTCTCCTACTTTGGCGGCAGGCCTGTCTTACTTAGTTTTAATCAGGCCATTATAAAGAAGCTGGATTGGGAATAGAACAACCAGGATATAAACAGACACCCTTCGACCTGCTGTACCACAGTGCTCATTCATTAAAACATAATTTAAATTAATAACCAGTTCACTGTTGTCCCTCTAAGTAAAATAAGTTTGAATTCTCAAAATCAAATAAATTTGCATCACTTTTTTACTTTAAAGTTTATTGTTATTTATTTGCCTTTACTTTTAAGGCCGTGAGTCAGAGTTTCCATCCTAACTGATTTGTTCCTCAAATGAATTGCCAGCCAGGAGTGGGTAACTCAATCTTAATTTTTCACATGATTGTAAGAGGACCAACTATGAACATTAATAAGTTTGTGTAGTCTTCAAGACTCGGCCCATTTCAAGACTTGAGTCCGTAGATTCTTGAGATGGAGACAAACTAAGTTATATGTTCATTGCTATGTCAAGCACCCATCAAAATTATTTGGAGTTCATGATTTTTTGATGATGATGCTATGTGGAAGGATACATTATATCCATTTTGTACCTTTCTGGCATTTGGGCCTGTTCAGGTTATTTTGCATTGCTTACTAAATTGTCATGGTTCCTTTGGGAATACCCTTGTAAAAATTACTGGACTAAACTTTTGTTGCCTTGTAAGGTGCTAAGGAAATATTTAGTATATCGTCACAGAAGTATTTGGATCATGTCAAAGTTTTATATATTAGTTTTTTATAAATATGTTTTATGAAAATGGGCATACTAAAAGTGATAGTACTAATTGTTGAAGCTTATTTTACTTGCCGAGACTGCAAGTTTCAAAATAGTGTGTAAAACTGACTTTGTATTCTTTACTTCTTTTAGAGAGCCTATAGATAATCTAACTCCTGAGGAAAGAGATGCTCGGACAGTATTCTGTATGCAGTTGGCAGCAAGAATTCGACCACGGGATTTGGAAGAATTCTTTTCTACAGTAGGAAAGGTAATCATGTCCTGTGTGGAGAAATTGTCAGTGTGGCAGAAAAAGAAAACATTTAAACAAACCCAGAATTAGTTTATAAGGAAGTATTAGCTTTTGCTATGAAGTTTTCATTTTCAGGCCAACAAAGCTGCTGGCTGAAGTAATTTATCAACTCATGCAAAATTTATATGCATTAAAGAGTTTCCGTCTGTTGCTGCACACTGAAATGCTCAGGACAGGACACTAAGGCCTGAGCCATGGATAAATAACCACGTTGGCTGGGACCTTTGCAGCTCAGTTAGGAACAAGGTTCATATTCCCAAATTTGTCACTTGCATGCAGAGCCTAAACACTTGGGCCTCACTCTCCTGCTTGTCTTGGCATATTAGCCAGCCATCAGAATTTATCCAGGGTGAACTTGAGCCAGAACCTGTATACCAGTGCCATTTGATTACCTTCCCTTCCCTTTTTATCACCTTTTAGTGAAGTGCTTTTTTGTTTGTTTTTTTTTTTAAGATTTTGTTTTTCTTGAAAAGGTAGATTTACAGAGAAAGGTTGATACACAAAGGTTTTTTGTCCATTGCTTCACTCCTAAGTAGCTATAACAGTGGTAGCCTAGCTGATCTGAAGCCATGAGCTTTCCTGTAAGTCTCCCACGTGGGTGCAAGGTTCCAAGGCTTTGGTGTCCTTATTGGTTTCTTGGGCCACAAGCAAAGAGCTGAATGGGAAGTGAAGTATCCCAGAATGAACTGGAGCTTATATGGTGTCCTCATGCATGTAAGGCAAGGACTTTAGCCTCTGAGCCATCATTCAGACCCTTTTAATGACTTTTTTTAAAGGCTTATTTTTATTGAAAAGAAAGATTCATGGAAGATCTGTCTCAATGGCTGCAGCGACTGGAGAAGGACAGAGAAGGGTGGAACTGAAGCCAGAAAGTAGGACCTTTCCCTTTGTGTGCAGAAGCCCACAGACTGAACCATCCTCAGCTGCTTTCTGAGTCCGTTAGTCAGGAGGTAGATGGGTTGTGGAGAAGCTGGAGGGACCAGAGCCATTGCTAACCATATGAGATTGGCAGTTAATGGTAGAGAATCAGCCAGCTGACCCACAGCTCCCCAGCTTAATTATCAAGAAGTTTTATTGAGAAGGAGAGAAAGATTTTCCATCCACTGGTTGCAGGTGGGTGCAACGACCGGATTTGAACTGACCTAGGGCCAGAGGCCAGCAGTCTCCTCTGTGTTTTCCACATGGGTGCAGTTCTCAAATCTTTAGGCCATCTATTCCTTTTCCCAGTCCATAAGCCAGGACATGTACCAGCAGCCATATGGGATCTGGTGCATATAAAGCAAGGATTTATCCTAGAGCCATGCACTGGACTACAAATATACTTTGCATTGATAATCCTAAAATGTTACACATCTTGCTGTGCTTTAAATTTTCATGGTTTACATTAATAGCATGCAAATTATAATTCCTAAATGATAAACCAAGAATGAATACAAAGTAAAATATTCCAAATTGTAAGATTAATTTGTTACAGTTGTGTTCCATCCAGTGTTTCTCTTCCCACATTGTCTCAACGGCCATTTGGGCTGGTCAAAGGCCAGGAGATTATTCTACTTCTCCTGTGTGGGTGTAAGGGGCACACAAAATGTGTCTACCTCTTCCCTACACCATTAACAGAAAGGTGGGTGGAGAGGGATAAACCTGGAATCCTGAGCTGCCAGTGCTGCTTGACCGTGGCACTGGGTTTATACATGTTTAGGTTCAGTTTTCATTCAGATTCCTGAACCAGATTGGAATATGATATTAGTTCAGAACTGTCGTGTACTACCAGATTTCTTTTAGTTAGTGCTTTAACATAGTTTAATTAGAAGTCCAAATTGTTCTGGTGTTAATACCTCAGATCATGAGTGTCCCAGTTTATCAGTGTGTTTGGCAAGGGGGAAAATTCACTGCTCTTTTGGGGAAATATAACGTGATAATTTTTTAAAAAGCGATAACATTGGCTCAGCCAGGTAGCCTAGTTGCTAAATCCTTGCTTTGTGTGCGCCAGGATCCCATGTTGGCACTGTTTCATGTCGTTACTGCTCCACTTTCGTATTCTGCTTCCTGCTTATAGCATGGGAAAGCAGTAGTGGATTGCCCAAAGCTTTGGGACCCTTGAGGCTCCTGGTTTCAGATTGGCTCAGCTCCAGCCATTGCAGGCTCTTGGGGATTATACCATTGGATTGAAGATCTATTTCCGTCTCACTACAAATCTGAATTTCTAATAAAAATATTTTTTGAAAAAATAAATTTTTCTATAATGATTGCATGATTGATCCAGGATGGTAAGGATCAAGGTTTAGGAAAAATTGAGTGATCTCATTTTATTTGTTGTTACTGGGGAAAGGGGAGAGACATAGGGAAAAGCCACACAATTTTCTAGACATCTCAGTACCCAGGGATGAGGAACTGTCACTTATAATCAACCCATAATTTCAATGTGTGCATATTCTGATGGTTCTGCCCAGGTGGTTTGGATTGTTCTGAAATGCTGTCGATTTCAGTGATCCAAGGATGATGTCACCCTCCCAGTGTCCATTGGCTGACATAGTAAGCCTCAAGTCTCCACTCGCCGAGATTTTTTGCTGTCATCATTTGACTGGGGTAGTTGTCCCGTTTGTTCTGTTCTCCTTATTCTGCTACGGCACCAAATGAGCTGCCATATTCTCCTTTCACAACAGGGCCTTGTGTCGACTGCTCGGCCTTTTTCACTAAGTAGGACATGTTCTTGCAGGTGAGCCGAAGGACCCAGGCCAGGCATCCCAAGCCTTGCTGGTTTCTCCACCCCTGGGTCTCACAAATCCGCTACCCACCTCACAGGTTGACCCCAAGACCTGGGTTAGGCAACCTGCATCACTATTGATCCCTCTCCCCAGGGCATATGAACCTGATATGTCTGTTAGGCAGGCCCAAGGACCTGGGCCAGGAGACCCAAGGCCAATCAGTTCCCTTGCCTCTTGGGCTCCAAAACCCAGCACCAACTTCACTGGCAGGCTCCCGGATGCGGGCGAGGTGAAAATAAATCTTTCATAATGAAAAAAAAAAAAGATATAATAGTAGAATTTGAACTGAAATTGGTTAATTTGAGCTATTAAGTTACTTTAGTATTAGAATGATTGTAATACTGCAAGTTTATGTGGAATCTTAGCATTTTTTAACTGTCTAGTTGTTACATATTGGTTTTCAGTTTAGTTTGCAAAACTTTTCCTGAAAGTTTTTATGCCTAAATTATGCTTTGCCTTTTATACATTTTGGACTAATGAAGCTTACATTATTTATAGTGGGTAAGTTCAGTATGTGGTAGTGTATATTAAGGTTGTGTTTTATTTTTAGGTTCGAGATGTGCGGATGATTTCTGATAGAAATTCACGACGTTCTAAGGGAATTGCTTATGTGGAGTTTGTCGATGTGAGCTCAGTGCCTCTAGCAATAGGATTAACCGGCCAGCGAGTTTTAGGAGTGCCAATCATAGTACAAGCTTCACAGGTAATTTTTTCAAAGCTAAGTTTTTTTTTTTAAATTTTAACTATTTAGTTTGGTGTAGTGTTTCAGATTAACTGATCAAAGTTAATCACTATGGATATTCTTAATACCTGTTTGATTTTTTCCTCAGGGATTACTTTGAAGTACTATGTTTTTTCATAGAAATTGTGAATAATTTCTTCCAGAAAAAGAACTGTTTTATAATTATTTTTTAAAATATTTCATTTTATTTTGAGAATTTGTACATAGTTGATTAGGGCACAAAGGATCAAGAGGTGCAGGAAAATGGGTTAGATTATTGTTTCCACTTTTTTTTAATCTGGTATAAGTGGGGAGACAAAAGGAGAAGCCCCAAGCAGCCTCCCACCCATCTCAGGTCCCCAACATGGGGGTAGCTGAGGCACCACTTACATGGCAAAGGTGCATCAGACCTGGCCTGGGTCTCTCCACCCAGACTCTAATGTCGCACTCCCCAGGTACATCCTGCCTCAGGATGTTGGTGATGGGTGGAGGCTAGGGCGGTCTTGTTCCCAAGAGACCCCCTCCCAGTGAAATCTCCAGGAAGACTGAAGAAGCCTCTTGAGTTCAGGCAGGCCAAGGACTCTTACCTTGTGACAGAATTAACTAGTCATGGCTCCCGGTTTATAATTATTGATTTGCAGTGATGTAAGGAGTTTGTGCCTTAAGGGAATGAGTAGAAAAAATAATACGTATTTTTTTTAAGATTTATTTTTATTGCAAAGTGAGATATACAGAGAGGAGGAGAGACAGAGAGGAAGATCTTCCATCCAATGATTTACTCCCTTAGTAACTACGGTGGCCAGTGCTGTGCTGATTCAAAGCCGGGAGCCAGGAACTTCCTCCAGGTTTCCCATGCAGCTTCCCAAGGCTTTGGGCTGTTCTCAACTGTTTTCCCAGGCCACAGGCAGGGAGCTGGATGGGAAGCAAGGCTGATGGGATTAGAACCGGGGACTATATGGGATCCCGGTACGTGCAAGGCAAGGACTTTAACCACTACGCACGCCATTGTGCCGGGCCCCAAAAATATTATGCTACATGATAAGAGTAGCTTTACAAAGTGGGAGCTCTAGTTTGAAGAACAGAGTTCTGTTTGAAATAATGCAACTTATGATTGTGTTGCACTTAAACCCAGAAAGTAGATGGTGGAATTAGTATTGAATTTGGGTCTTACTTATTTCTACCTTTAAAAAAAGTTAGTGGTATTATAGATAAATTTTTTCATTCAGCTTGGCAATGTGAATATTTTATTTATTGGCAAGGAAAACGAGATGCTAACATCTTCCATCTGTTGGTTTACTGTGCATATGAACACAGTAGCTGGACCTGAACCTGATCCCAGAAGAGAAACCTGACCCAAATGTGGAACCTGAGAGTTTCTTGGGCCTCCATTGTGCGTGTTGGGTCCCAAAAATTGTACAGTTTTCCACTGCTTTCTGTCCTCGCAAACTGTGGGAGCAAAATTGATTGCAGAGGTGCTGAGACAGGAAGCACTGCGCCAATGGATTCCCAGTGCTTTCAATGGGAGGATTAGTTAGTTGAGCCATAGCACTGAGCCATAAATGTTATTAAAGGTTTATTTATTTTTAACGGAATGGAAGAGTTACAGAGAGGAGAGACAACTTCATCCTCTGATTTATTTCCCATATGGCCAGTCTAGTGCGAGTTTGTTCTGCATCTCCTATGCAGGTTCACGTCCCAAGCCATCTTCTGCTGCATTGGCATGCCTTAAGCAGGGAGCTGCAACTGATCTATGGGAAACGGAGCAGCTGAGATATGGACCACTTCATTGTGGGATCCTGGATATTGGAGGAGGGGGAGGTTGGGGTTTGATTAGCTAATTTAGCCATTGACTTGACCTAAAAATTATTTTGAACAGTGAGAAATCCAGTCCTATTTTGTTTTTCTTAAAATTACTGAAATATTTCACAGTTGCTTCTAGATACAATTACTTTATTAAAACTTTTTTGAAGATATGTGTCATAAACAGATTTAAGTTTACATTTCCTTTTTCAATAATAAGTAAGGTCTATGTGACTATGGCTAAATTACTTCTTGGCCTCTTTTTTTTTTTTTTCCTAGTTTTTAAAGGTTTTTGGGATTATGGTTCTGAATGTTTAAAGCCATGAAGTTTTTTGTTATATATTTTTTTGTTGGACAGTCTGATTAAAAAAATTTTTTAAATTAAAAAAGATCATGTTACATAGTTGATCTCATAATCAGGATCAAACGTTAGGGAAAAGTGATCTGGTCATTACTTATAAAGCATCTTTTCTTCTAGCTGTATGTGGCGGATGGCGAACCAAAAGGGTGGAAGTCATACCAGTGATAGGGAAAAGGGACACGATATTAACCCAGGGTCCCCGATACGGTGCATGCTACTTTGTTCCTGCCCAAGTAGTTTTGCTAGTACTGAAATGCTTTTGATAGAAGGGTGAGGAATCCTCTCAAGTGTCCGTTGGTTGACTTAGTTGTACTAGAGTATTCATTCTTTCAGATATTTGCTGTGGATAGATTTAAAAAGAAAATAGACTAGCATTGTGCTGAGGAATAGTGCCCATATGCCTTGCAGATCCAGTGGGAGGATTAGCTTATTAATACCACTGCACTGGAGGCGCTGTTTGTGTTTTTATTTATTTGATTTATATTTATTCAAATGTTAGATTTACAGAGAGGAGAGACAAAGATCTACCATCAACTGGTTGACTCTGCAAGTGGTATTAACAGACAAATCTGAAGCCAAAAGTTTGTTCTGGGTACCCCACATGAGTTGGGTGCAGAGTCCCAAGGACTATAAAAAATATGACTTTTATATAATTTCTTGGTACTGATTATTTGAAATTGTTTTCATGTTTGAATATGTATGTAACATAAAGCATGACTTTAATGTATGAACTGTACAATTCAGTACCTTTTATTAACTTCATGGTCTGGTTTAGAAGTAGTTTCCAATGTTTGAAAAATCTTGAATTTTGTCAGAGATCATATATTCATCAATAACTTCTTATTAGTTGGTAACCTTGGATGTGTTTCTGTTTCTATGACTTTGTCTTTGAAGCATACCATATAGAAGTGGTTTAAGAGAAAATTTGTCCTTTTGCTTCTGATTTAGGGTATCCTAAACATTAACGAACCTAAAGTAGGAATGTTTTAAAAGCCTTGTATTGTTTGTAAGCATTGTGCATTTTTTGCAATATTTTACTTGCAGGCAGAAAAAAACAGAGCTGCAGCAATGGCAAACAATTTACAAAAGGGGAGTGCTGGACCTATGAGACTGTATGTGGGCTCATTACACTTTAACATAACAGAAGACATGCTTAGAGGAATCTTTGAGCCTTTTGGAAGGGTAAGTCCATATCTTGAATGAATGATTGTTTTGAATATTGCCAAGATAATTTCTGTGTGTCTGCATAGCTATTTTATGATTGCTCATAAATTTTATATGGCAGGAGTTAGTTTCTGAAATTTCCATGGCAACGTTGAATAGGATTGGTAAATTAATTTATTTGAAAATAGAGGATTTGTAAGTTACTCATGATGTCAAAATGAAAAAAAAGAGCATCTCTTGTTTTAAAAAATTGGTGTGTTCTTAACACAGAGCTGATTTTGATACTAACCTTGCAGTATAGATTCCATGGTTGTAGAGGTTGTTTTCCTGGGGAGAAGCTTACTGGTAGCACTTAGATGTGCCAAAATTTACCCAAATATTGGAAATTTGATTACATAATTTGTGGTAGTCATGGACTGTTTTTACTGTCACCTGAAAATTAAAAACAAACTTGGTTCCTTGTTTCATGGATTATTCTATTTTTACACAATTGACTAATATGGAGATGTGCTTTTTTTAAGATTTATTTTTTTTTATTGGAAAGGCAAGTTTACAAAGATACGGGGAGAAAGAACATCCATCCTATAATTTCACTCTGTAAGTGGCCACAACAGCCCGAACTAAGCTGATGCCAAGCTTAGCTTGTTCTGGGTCTTTGTGAAATTGCATGGTCCCAAGGCTTTAGGGCATCCGCTGATACTTTCCATGGCCACAAACCGGGAACTAGAAAGGAAGTCGGGCAACTGGGATAGAACTGGCACCAATATGTGACCCCAGCAGATGTTTGGTGAGGATTTGTCCCCTAGGGTAATACTCTGAGCCCTGAAATGGTTTTGTTTAGGGGAGAAAGTGTGAAATGTTAGTTTGACCTATATTTAAAGAAATAGGTACTTTATGATAGATTATTTTCATTGGAAAGCCAGGTATGCAGAGAGGAGTGGAACAGAAAAAAACCCACCTGTCTGATCATTCCCCAAGAGGCTGCAATGGGCAGAGTTCAGTTGATCCAAAGCCAGGAGCTTCTTCTGAGTATACCGTGTGGTTACAGGGTCCCAAAGCTTTCTTCTCCTGTAATGCTCTCCCATGGGACAGGAAGCTGCAAGGAAAGTGAACACACACTGGTGCCCCTCTGGGATCCTGGTGAATGAAGATCACTGTTTAGCCACTAAGATATTTTGATGGTCTTAAATAGGTATATACATTTATTCGTCACAGTGATGAGCTGAAGAGACAGAAGGAAATCCACCCACTGTGGGTTTACTTCTCAAATCAACATTTGGAGTCAACCCAACATGTTGGGTCATCCAAAACATAGCCTGAGCCTGGGGATAAAAACATAACATTGTTGTCCAATTTTGGTGGAAGGATTGTTATCCACTGCTTAAGCAGATTTATTGGCCATATTAGCAACATAGCAGGTAGGACTGAATTAATGGTCACGACCCTGTGTGCCCATTGTGATTGCTTACATAAACTATACATTGATATGTGCAATTCTTACACTTAATTGGATTTCCACGTATAAAAAATTTTATTCCTGCTTTAAATTATCCATTGTTATTCTAAAAATGCAGTCATGACTAGACCCCCTTTTAGAATTTGCTTTCATCATTTCTTAACATTTACTAAACTGCTAAAGTGTGAACACTAATTAAATTCAGGCAATTGTGCTTGCAGAATTCATTCTGGGTGTACACACTTCAGGTCTTAGTTGTGTATGTTGCATGTATGAAAACAGTATGAAAAAATCTTTAAGCATTTTTAAATGAACGTTTGAAACATTAAGTTACTAGAATACTTTTCCAAATTGTGCTGTATTTCCCTATAGAGAGGGTAATTACATTAAAGTAATTGGCATATTCCATCTGTCAGACATTCATGTTGAGATTAGTATTCTTAATTTTTCTTATGCATTTCTTAAGATTTGCTTATTTTTATTGAAAAGGTTGATATGCAGAGAGAAGGAGCCTCATTGGACGGAGGTGACCCTATCTGAAGCCAGGAGCCTCTTCCAAGCCTACCAGTATGGTGCATGGTCTAGAGGCTTTGGGCCTTCCTCAACTGCATTCCCAGCTGAAAAGCAGGGAGCTAGAAGGAAAGTGGAATAGCCAGAACATGAACCAGTCAAAAAAATGGGATTCTGGTTTTTGGAAGGCCAGGAGTTTAACTACTAGCCTACTGTGCTACTTGCTCCCTGGGATGTTTTTGCAGTAAACTCACTTGCTTTTAGTACATTCACACAACATGCAGTTAGTTAATTTGTAATGCCTGATAACATTTTTAGTGTTTGATATTTTTAAAAGAATGAAATGGAATACAGAATTGTTTTAGGCAATCATTTATTTGAATGGCAGAGAGAGAAATTATTCTTACATTCAGAAAATTGCTGGTTTTCAAGTCAATTCCAGGGTCCACGTGGAAGGCAGTGCTTAAATATTCAGTTCATATTGTGTTTTTTTCTCAGGCACATTATTGGGTAAGATGGAGAAGCAGATGTGCCTGAATTACACAGCCTGATTGGCACTGTCTGAATCAATTTAATATGGTGTACTAGAGATGTAGCCACTTGTCTGTGTTAATAGTTTTTATGGATGTCTGGTTTTCAGTGATTTTTACATACAAAACCTAATTTTTGTTCTTGCTCTGTGTGTATATATTCATGTTAATTTAGGAAGCTGCTAAGCTGTTAGGTTTTGTGCAAGGAATGAGAAATTTTTGAGGGCAGGAGTATATTCTAAATTTTATAAACAATTTCTCAAAATTAATTGTTTCTTTTGGTTTGTATAATAATTATGCTTTGTAATTTTAGATTGAAAGTATACAGCTCATGATGGATAGTGAAACAGGTCGTTCGAAAGGATATGGATTTATTACAGTAAGTAATCACAAGGAGTTGAAATTTTATTTCATATAAGTGAAATGAGAGATTCGCTGATTATTAGGTGGGCTGAAGGATAATTGCTATGCTCATATTACTAAAATAGTACATAGATGCTATTTTTCGGGAGGCGGTAGTTAAACTCATTCTCTTATCAGCCTGTACTATTCTGTAGTCCCTTTTTATAGATTGTTTATCTGTCTCTCCACATTTTCCATTGGCTGGTTAGTTTACCAAATACCGACATAGTTACTACTTTTCCTGGCTGTGTGTGGAAACATGAATTAATGTCTCACGCTAATGCTCCTGACCATGTATATGAGCAGGAAATGAGCGGATGAACAAAATTGGCGTTTCTTTCACAATGTGGGCATGTGGATTCTTTGCTGTTACATAGAAGATACATATAGGCATCCAGTCAATCCTTTAATTGCTTACTTAAACACTTTTTTTCTTATTAAAGATTTATTTTTTAATGGAAAGTGAGATTTACAAAGAGGGTAAAACTGACAGATCTTTCATCCATTTGCTCACTCTTAACTGGCCGCAATGTCCAACATATATGGAATCTTGATGCATCAGATGGCCTCTTAATGTACTATTCCACAGTACCATCCCTACTAATTGCAACTTAATTTTTGAAATATTGCTGCTTTTTGATACAAAGATTCCATAATATCATAAAGGTTTAATTCAAAGGCAGCGTGTCAGTGACGCATATCATCTATGAACAAATTGGTTCACAAAATGGCCTTTGTAATTATAGCCAGGCCAGACTGAATGTCAGAAAACTAGTACTTTGTCCATCTTTGGTTTCCATACATTAGCAGCAAGCTGGATCAGAAGCATAGCAGCAAGGATTTTTACTGCACCTCTGACATGATATATTTATTAATGATGCTAGCAATGGCATTTAATCCACTGCAGTGCTCAAGTTGTTTAAAACTGCCACATTAAAGGTTTTTTGATCATAGTGTCTGTATAATGTGGGTTATATTGCGTGTAGTCCAAACTATAATTCTGAGTATATTATATCTACTGTAGTTATAGCAGTTGCCTGCTATAGCTGGATACGCAAAGCTGGACAGGAGCCTTGTACACTTCGCAGGTCTCCAACCAAGATGCATAGCTTTGTTGATGTATACCCACTGAAATTAATATAGTATAATAAGTTTTTTTCCTTACTTAACAGTTTTCTGATTCAGAATGTGCCAAAAAGGCTTTAGAACAGCTGAATGGATTTGAACTAGCGGGAAGGCCGATGAAGGTTGGTCATGTTACTGAGCGTACTGATGCATCCAGTGCTAGTTCATTTCTGGATAGTGATGAACTGGAAAGGACTGGAATTGACTTGGGAACAACTGGTCGTCTGCAGTTAATGGCAAGACTTGCAGAGGGTAAGTTTTTTGTTTTCTTTGTTTTTCCTTTTTTATTGGCATGGCACATTTATAGAGAGGAGGAGAGACAGAAAGATCTTGCATCTGCTGGTCTACTCCCCAGAAGACAGCAATGGCTAAAAATGAGCCAGTCTGTAATCAGGAGCTGTGAGCTTCTTTGAGACTTCCATGTGGGTGCAGGTTCCTACCGCTTTGGGCCATCTTTCATGGCTTTCCCAGGCAGGCCTTAAGCAGGGAGCTGGTTGGGAAGTACGACTTGAACCTTCGCTTGCCAACTGTTTTTGTGCTGGCCCTGGAGTTTTTCTTAGTGTTGCAAAATATTTGGCGTATGAAGGTAAAATGAAATTAACTGCATTTCTCTTTATTTATTAATTGTAAAAATTTTGGGGAATCTGCCTTTTTGTATGTTAACTGTTCCAGGATGTATTCAGAAGCCAGGAGGTCAGCCTCCATCCCCCTGTGCATGTTAGATGACTCATGTAATTGGGAGTCATCTAGCTCCCAGGTTTACACAGAATCCCAAGGATAGCCCTTGTTTGAACTCAGAACTCAGGTACACCAGTCTGGGTTGCCTTCATTCCCACACAGTTTCCCATGATTTGCGTTAAATGTCATAAATGACAAGATTATTTAGTATGCTAAATTTATTTTTTTCATCTGTGCCTGTAGTTACAAGTATGATGATTTCAGCTTTTTATTAAGTGTCAGTATAAACTGGATAAATTTTAAGGCATTCCTGTAAGATACAGCAGTGTTTTTGTTTCTTGGCTCGTTTTCTGTTCCATAATTTCTTTTAAGATGTGATAGTAATGTTTTCAACATAGTAAGGACTTTGAGATGTTTTTTTTACAGGTACTGGTTTGCAGATTCCTCCAGCAGCACAGCAAGCACTGCAAATGAGTGGTTCTTTGGCATTTGGTGCTGTGGCAGGTAGGAATTGAATCTTTTCTAATTTCGAATCACTGATTTTTCATCTAATTGGAAAAAATTTCCAAATTTTTTGCATTTAAAAGGACTTACCTGAGAATTCAATTCATCAAGTACTTTTAGCATAGTTCTGGATTTCACCTAAATATGAGACCAGAATTTTCCACTAATCAGATTAGCATGTCCGAATAGTTTTGATCCCTATAGCGTAGTGTTAACTCTTTTAAAATGTACTCTTAAAAACTGCATGCATATATCAGTTTTGTTAAATATACAAGAAGGCTCATATTTTTTCAAAACAAAATGCTTCTCTGCAATATTTCAACACTGAAAATGTCCAGTGCTTTTAAATCAAACTTAAATTCAGTTATAGCAGTATGAGTATGCAGCAGAAATTTTTTCCAAATGATACATGTTAAAACTTGAGAGAATGAAGTTCTAATATAAAATGGAGGAAAAAAGTGATTAGAATTGTGCAAGTAGGTGTTTAGTGTATGTGACATTACTATTAATCTTCCTTGGTAAGTACCTAAACTTTTGAATTTATAAATCATAGCCCGGACCTAAATCTGTATCACATAACACTTTAGAAATTGTAATTCCAATTCAGTTTTGATCATGTTTGCAAATTGAGACTTCATGTGTTGTAGAGATTCATGGTTTAATGTCTCAGATCAGAATATAAATTCATGAAATAATCTGGTTGTTTCATAATTTCTGCTGAGATTGAAGGCTTTTCTCATAAGAATATGATTTCTGCTTTTATGTTATTATTAGGACAGAGGTGTTTTTCTTTGTTTGCCTTCTAGTGGGTAACCAGAAGTGTGAGTACCTACAGAAAATGTTTGATCATTTCTTCTTATCAAATCAATAGGGCTTAGCTTGAAATTTAATGTAGTTAGAATTTTGCACAACCATACCAATGATTGTTAAGAGAATAAACAATCATGGAAGCATTTCTGATACTTGATATTTTCCTTAATATTTCTATTTTACTCCTTGGTTGTTATATGCATTTTGTTTGATTTAAAATAAATAATAGTGATATCTTTAATTATTTGCATGGATATTAATAAAACTGAAACCTTCCCAAAAAACAGACTCTGTTCTTTCAAAGTTTGTGTAACAGAAATTTTCTCCCTGTTAAATAAGATTTTTAAATAAAATGTACATTTTTCCTTTGAAAGATGGAATTGGCTTCCATCTCCATTCATGGGTGCTAGGGACCTACCTTTAAGTGCATACTGAGGGCTCCCTATGAGGAAGCTGGAATCTGCTGCAGTCCTCCTAAGGCATTCTATTCTTCCCAACAGCGTAGTCTCCTGTTACCAAGCCACTCCTTGTTTTAAAAGTTAAAGCGCAGGGAAAAAAAAGAAAAATACAACTAAATGCCTAGTAACAGAATCTGTTCTGCTTTCTAAATAGCCAGTGATAATAGACCCCGATATATATATATGGACATATTTAAGATTTATTTATTTTTATTGCAATGTTAATAGAGAGGAACATCTTCCATCCAATGATTCACTCTCCAAGTGACTGCAATAGCCAGTGCTGTGCCGAATCAAATCCAGTAGACGGGATCTTCCTCCAGGTCTCCTGCGGGAGTCCAGGATCCCTAGGCTTTGGGCCGTCCTTCAGTGCTTTCCCAGGCCAGGAGCAGGAAGCTGGATGGGAAGCTTACCTGCCAGGATTAGAACTAGCGCCAAGATGGGAATCCAGCTTGTTCAAGGCGAGGACTTTAGGTGCTATTGTTTTGATTAAGCATTTTCTTTAGGTAACTGAAGGTTCTGTTTTAACAAAGGAGCCATGATTTTCCTGTAACAATTAAATCATGTCTCTTGTTGGGTACTTACATAATTATAGTACTCCTCTTTTGTGTGTATTGAAATGGATTTTAAGGATAGTATTTTTTTTATTGTATCTCATATTTATTGCTTGGTAAATGTGTTCTTCATTTTAATTCCCTGGAAATCTATACTTTGCTCCTAATTTGTCTAAAATCATCTGAGAAATCATTTTTTTATTCTTTTCTTATTTATTATTAGAAAATCAGATACACAGAGTAGATCTTCCATCTGCTAACTTCACTCCCCAAGTGATCGCAATGGCCAGAGCTGAGCCGATTCACAGCCAGGAGCCTGTAGCTTATTATGGGTCCCCCATGTGGGTTGGTTTAGTGTCTCATGGCTCTGGGCTACTCTCCATGGCTTTCTCAGGCCACAAGCAGGGAGCTGGGTAGGAAGCCCAATCAAACTGGCTCCGATAAGGGATCCTATCACAGGCAAAACATGCCTTTAGCTGCTAGGCGAACGCTCTGTGCCCCTGACAAATAATGTTGTAACTTGAATGAGATGCAAGTATATTTAAAAAGCCTTCTCCTCAGTTTTTGGAAAATAAGCAAAGTGCATTAATAATTGAAGTGGCCAAATGTTCAAGTAAGTTGTAGTTAAAATTTCAGTTCAAGATGCCACTTTTGAGCAATTAGAAAATCCACATGTAGTATGTATGTAATTATCTGCATGTAAATTGAAGCACAAACATCTTGTGTTCATTGTTTCAAGAAGTTTGAGGCCATGTTGTTTATTTATTTACTTAACATTTTTTTCCTTCTCAATTTTATGATAATTTTCATAGGCTCTGGGATTCCTCATGTCCCTTCCTATATTGTTTGTTTTTAGTAGTGTAATGTTCAATTGTATCTTAATTTTATTTTGTAGATTACAAGAACCCTGTTGATTTCTTGCTGCCTAAATAATATGACAAACCTCAGTAAAATTTTCATCTTTGAGATTGTCTTAAAATTAAGAATTTTTAAAGTGTGTAGTTAATAGTGAGTTAGAACAAATTTGTAAAATTATAGTGTAGTATATTAAAACTAAATCTTCCCTTTAAGAAAATATAAATATTTTTTATTCCTCAAGTACTTGGAATTGAATTCTCAAAATCAGGGTTTTTCATAGTTTCTTACTGGTGTGCCCCCCTTTCCCCATTTCTCATTCTACCCAAGTATAAAGGATTACGGTGGAATAAGGTTGCGACTAGAAAAGTATTAGGAATAGGAAGAGAAAGAGAAAAAGATGTGTAAGTTTTTCTAAGATGAAAAATGAAAAAATTTCCCCAAATCTTTGTTAATGAGGAATGGGGAAGGGGTTTTGCCACCATGATTTATTAAAACGTTTGTTTTAATAAACCCTGCTCTAATAGTCCTCTTTTATTAATGCTCTCCTGACATTTACCCTGTTAGTTGAGGCTCTTCATTGTTCCTGCACTGAGCTGTAGAATTCTCTTTTGTTATAGATTTGCAAACAAGACTTTCCCAACAGACTGAAGGTGAGTTCCTTCCTTTTTTTTTTTTTTTTTGAAGTAGTGTTAAGTATAACAAGATAAATTTTTATAAATTTGCTACAATGTTTTCACAGAATGCTATATGCTTGGATATATAGATATATCAATATGTTGATCCACTAATTATCAGGGATAAATAAGTAAATGAAAATTTTCCCTGATATTTCTTTCCCTATAGCCTTCATGATATTTTCAGAACTTTCCTAGTTGTTATTTATCTATTCTGACTTAAGTTTTCTTGAAAATTAAAAAATGGAGTATTATGGAGTGTAGGTCCTTCAGAATTGGACTCTGCTTAATGTAAAGCTGATCATAGTGCTACTGAATATGAACTTGTTAGTATGCTAATAGTATTGTTAATTTTGATGATTTGTTTGAAATAATATGAAACAATGTATTTGTAACTTGCATGTATTAAACAGAAATAGGGTATAATTGCATGAGATTTATTTGATAGGCGAGTTAATGCATTTAGAGGGAGAGTTGGAACAGTCCTGTTATTGCTGGTTCAACTCCATAAATTCCCACAAAAGCTGTGAAAAGCAAACAGCTAGCCCAGAAGTCCCATTTCTTTCCCACGGGAGTGGCAGTACTCGCGAGTCTGTCCATGGGAACAGCTGGGACTGTTTTAACAGGCAGCCCTTTAGATGCTAGCATTACAGGCGGGGGTGAAATCTGCAGTACATTGATTAAGTCCTTTTTGCAAATTTGAAATTATAAAATCTTTGTAACAGTCAACATTTTGCTCCTGGAGAAATTTTGTTCTATTTACCTTAACAAAGATTGTATGGGATGCTTGGGATTAATACTTTTTGCTAAGGGTTTTTAGAAGTAAAAAATTTTCCATTTTTATTTCATCATTAATTGATATAGCAAATGCTGTATTTCCTTAATATTTTTCATATTTCTAATCAGAGTGAACAAATTTAACCTTTTTTAAGTCTCTTGTTGTATAAGCTAACATTGCCACTCATGTTTTTCTTCATTATAATTATGAGAACTCTGGAATCTTCTCAACCATTCCTTTTAGATTTTTTATGTTGTCTTGGCATTTTTCTTTTAACTGGAAATAATGCTTTACTAATTAAAATATTTTGAATTAAAGGAAATGCAAAGAGTCAAAAGCCTTGTAATTTTATCATTGCTTCATGATGTATTTCACAGTTTCTTTTCAGTGGAGTATATCTTATGCTTAGGAGATTCATTTTATCGTAACTTCTAATGCACTGTTTTATCCTTAGCTTTGTTTTCTTATGCATTGGAATCAAATATGGTCAAATAATATGACAACGGTGAGTTATGGTAGTACAGCCACCAGGAAAACTCATGGAAGTCAGGATAAAAACATTGGAGAGACTTTACATTAATTTTGAGTCATAATGTCTGGTGTTATTTGAATTGTGGTAGGGTGATCCTTAGTTTTTTTCAAATGGTAGTAAAAAAATAAGGATTAGTAATGTATTGATTTGGTAACAGGACTTCATTTGGTAGCATATTCTGGAAATCTTGGTTATTTTTGTCATTTTAGAAAATTAATATTTTATTGTAATTAGATTTTTATTTAATATTTCAACTATTTATATTAGTGTCAGGGAAAGTGCAGTTTTGGAGCCTAAGTTTTGTAGTTAAAATTTCATCTTTTTTCGTTGATTTGTGTTGATTGTTGTTTTTGCTTTTAGATATTGTATTAGGAGACTAGAAAAGAGTTCTCTGACTCACTCACCCTCCTGTAGATCACTTTGCAAATATATACAACAGCTTAGACTGGGTCACCACAAGCTTTGGAAACCATAATTTAATTCAAGTGTCCCGCATGCTAGGCAGGAGTTTAAGTATCTGTTCTATTACCTTCTGCCTCCCACATGGCATTGTAGGAAGAACTACAAATTGAGAATGTAGCTGAGTGAATGCACACATCCTGATATGGAATGTATGTTCCAAAGTTGTCTCAGTTCCTCAGAATTTTGTGTAATTATTTTGATAATAGCATTGTAAATTTTGTTGTCCTTTGTAAAAATAGCTTCAAGTTTTTTTAATGGTTCAAAAAGAGGTCGCAATAATTTTCTGGCTACAATATTTCAGTAAACTGAGCTGTTTATATCTGCCAGTTTCCTCATCAGAGATTTAGAGACCACAAGATGTCTATATTTGTTTGGGGAGGTATATGTAATAAATAATATAGTATGGGACATATATACATAGCATTTGCATTACACTAGAGATAATATGTGACAAATGTTTTAAACTGATCTAGTGTTGTGGGTAACAAAGGGAAATCATTGATAGGTTTTGTTGGTGTGAGAACATAATGCACTTTTTTTTATTATTATTTATTTACTTTGATTGCAAATAAGATACACAGAGAAGAAGGGGGATAATGGGTTAAAAGATCTTCCATGCATTGATTTGCTCCCGAAGTGGCCAACAGCTGGTGCCTACGGGATCCACAGCCTGAAGAAATGAGCTGCTTTTTAGGTTTTCCATGCTGGTGCAGGGTCCCAAGACCAGAAGCAGGGAGCTGAATGCAAAACGGGATGCAGCGGTATCAACCAGCGCCTGTATGGAATGTGGCGCATACAAAGGCGAGGACTTTAGCCATTAGGCTACCGTACTGGACTCTACATTTTTTTTAATACATTTTAGTTAACAAAGATTCAGATAAACATAGATTGTCAGAATTGTCATTGGCTCGTGCCCTTTTCTGGCTTTTGTCTACTAAAAATATATTTGCTTTGTGTATACAAATATGCCATTTAATTTTTATAGGCGTAGTATTTTGGTTTCCTGTGTACTGGAACATGTTTCTGAGGAAACTTATAAAGTTAAAGTAGGGAAATATGTCAGTTCGCAAATTTTTGTTAGGTGAAATATATTAAACACTGACATCTCTACAAGATTAATGTGGGTTTTTTTATTTGTAAGGGATATTCAAATATATTTTCTATGAAACTAATTTTCTTCTCTGTTTTTTTTAAGCTTCCGCTTTAGCTGCTGCTGCCACTGTTCAGCCACTTGCAACACAGTGTTTCCAGCTCTCGAATATGTTTAACCCGCAAACGTAAGTGCTTTATTCTGTCAAAATCATGAATTATACTGTGAAAGGGATAGTGCTGAATTTTGTGTTACGTGTCAACATTTAGATTATTATGTGTTTTTATTGAAACAAAGTTTATTTTAATATAATTTTTCTGTACATTGTTAATTTCCTTTGATCTCATTCATTGCATGATTGGAATTGAGTTAAATTCCTTATAGATCATTTGTGTTTATTTCTGAGAAATTTACTGTTTAAGGTTTTTTTTTTTTTTGCAATATTTCCCTTCTTCCTCGTTTCCCTCCCAGCCCCATATTGGGCTTAGTACTGCAGCCTTCTCTGTGGGGAGGATAAATGATCGAGCCCCAGTTCTGCTTCCCAGCTCACTGTTTAGACCACCAGCATTTGTGATTGGGGAGCAATTCTTCCATTTGGCTTCCAACTCCCCATTTTTAGTTATCTTGCTCTTTGGGTCGAAAGCCCTGTGGAGGAACAGTTAGAGGCAGCTTTTGATGAGCTGCAGAATGGAATTGGTCCCTGCTGCTATACCTGTTTTAGAGCCCAACATGGCACCTCAAAAGCACATAATTCAAAAGGGAATCACATAGAATCTGATCTATGCCTGCAAGGAGCCAGTGACATGTGGAGTAATCTGTTGAGAGGAAGGGTGTAGTTTACCACCAGAATATGGTATTATGGGGAACAGGACTTCTCCAATTGGCCCAGTTTCTCTGAAGAAGTTCGGCCCCTATTTCCTCTCACTTCACTGATAATGAAGGCATACTTTGGCTTACTCCTCTCGTTGAAATGGTATGCTGACATTGACATCTTTCCCTTTAGTCCTCCTCTGTTGATTATTTATTTAGTACATTGATTTTTGACATCATTCTAGTACTAAGTTTCAAGTTATTTTTTGAAGTACTTACGGTTTAGTTTCTTTCCTTGTAATCAGAATAAGCCTCCTTTGTCAGAGTGAACCCCTTTTATGAGGCTGCTTTATTTTATTTAACAGCCATCACCCAGATATTTTTGAGAGGATTTTTGTTACTAAGTAAAAAAGTAAATGGTCTAAGAAATGGTTTTGAAATGTGTAATTGGTATAAAATTTGTGAATGAAACAATTTAAGAAGTATTATTCCAGTAGAAGAGTAACTTTATTGTTCATTAATGCATGATGTTTTTAATTATCATCAGTACTAGTTATCGTCTGCCCACTGATTTTAGTGGTTTAATAGAACCTCTGATAATTGGTTTTTGAGTAGTTATTATTACTTATGAGGTACCTTGATGCAGCTCAAATACAGGTTTTCTGCTTTATGTTTGTATAGCATCTTGTTACATAGCTCTAATGTAAGTTCACAGTTTGGTTTATTAACCCTGGATTCTTGGAGTTGGGCAAAAGTAAAATTTATTTTTAACCCTTTGACATGGTGATAAACCACTTCAATATTACTTCTAAGTGATAGAAATGCATTAATTAGGTTGATAGCAATGTTTTGTATCCTGATTTACCTTAGAGATATATACCACTTAACATTTTTTGCCACAAATACGTGCTTAAAAATCCTTTCATATGTTACTGCCTTGCATTGTGTTTTAATTAAGTTTAATACTTTGATAACAGAGAAGAAGAAGTTGGATGGGATACAGAAATTAAGGATGATGTGATTGAAGAATGTAATAAACATGGAGGAGTGATTCATATTTATGTTGACAAGAATTCAGCTCAGGTATTTTTATGTTTTTGATAACGGGATTTTGTTCCTAATAGATTAGTGCATAGTCGCGTGAAATTTTGCCGTCTTGATATTGGAATCTTATTCAAGTTTCAGACAATTGAGAATCCTTTGGGCAAAGTTGTACATATGAATGTTGGGCCTTGGACACAGGAAACATTTTCTATTTTCATGTATGGAGTTCGGTATAGGCAATCTAAATCAACCTGCATTCTTGTAACAGCAGTGTTTTTACCTTTTAGGGCAACGTGTATGTGAAGTGCCCATCAATTGCCGCAGCTATTGCTGCTGTGAATGCATTGCATGGCAGGTGGTTTGCTGGTGAGTTGAGTCATTTTTCTTAGTGATTGTTAGTCTCATTTTATATCTGTATGTCAATACTAACCAAAATTTGTTTCTGTTCACAGGGAAAATGATAACAGCAGCATATGTACCTCTTCCAACTTATCATAACCTGTTTCCCGATTCTATGACGGCAACACAACTTCTAGTGCCAAGTAGACGATGAAGGAAGATACAGTCCCTGTGTACATAGCTTTTTTTGTTTCTTGAGAATTCATCTTGAGTTATCTTTTATTTAGATAAAAATAAAGAGGCAAGGGTCTACTGTCATTTGTATACAATTCCTGTTACCTTGAAAAAATAAAAATGTAAACAGGAATGAAGTGTGCTCTTTCTCCCTAACTAGCAAATCCCAATGTATACAAAGCTGTTCTTTTGTTCTGCCTTTTAAAATGTACAATGTAGAAAAATAACATTAAGGGTCTATAGGAATAGCTCTAGGGGAACAAGTGTGCTTTCTGTATAAAGGCAGAGAAGGATTTAATGTTGTTTTTAATGTTCCGGAAGCCTAACTTTTTACACAACAGCTACATTTCACTATTGTTTAAACTTGGTTCATGGTTTAGCAGGTTTCTGGCACATGTGTAGTATGGAAATTTAAGACAGCGAAAAGGCTGTTTGGGGAACATCTCATCTTGCATTCTTATATTTTAGCAAGAAAAAGGAAACTTCAAAATTATATTTCCTGATGGTATCTTTTCAATTAATGTATCTGTAAAACTTACTTTGTAAATACTATGTGTTCTGGTGTGTCTTAAGATTCCAAACAAAATGATCCCTGCATTTCCTGAAGATGTTTGGATAACAAAGCAGTCTGATTAAGAAATAGGAAATGCAGAAATAGGTTTTGTCTGGTTGCATATAATCTTTGCTCTTTTTAAGCTCTGTGAGCTCTGAAATATATTTTTGGGTTACTTCAGTGTGTTTGACAAGACAGCTTGATATTTCTATCAAACAAATGACTTTCATATTGCAACAATCTTTGTAAGAACCACTCAAATAAAATTCTCTTTAAAAGGCCACAAGCAATCTTTATTTTTCAAATGTTTCAAGGTTATAGAAAATTTAGGATAGTTTTAGGCTTGAAGTCAGAAAGTAAATTCAGTAGAGTTACCCTCAGAAGATTTTGTCATTCCTATTGAGAAATTCTGCCTTCAAGCTGTCCAGTTCCTTATATTACTGATATACTTTTTAAGTATCACGTTTACTGAAAGCAATGTAAAATTTGTACTCTGACCAACTTACTATTAAGTCATGTAAATGAGTATTAACAAAATGACTTATGCTTAAACTAAATGAAAAGTCTCAGAAAAGGGAAGTAATTTTTAAAACTGCATGCATTTTTATAAATCCATTATGTTTTATGCCTTGAAGATAAAACTAAGCAATATAGTTACCATTATGGTAGTTTTCACAGAAATTGGTTAAAGATTTTTGAATTGTGGTGCACATTTACACTAGCCTGATAAGCTGCCTGGTTCTGAATATAGATCTACATGATGCTCTTGGAAATATTCTTTTGTATTATTTACCAGATCGCCGATTATAATTTCAGGCAACCGATCAGCAAACATAAATTTTATTGTCTAATATCATCTGGTAATATGCAGGCAGAATTTACGCATAACCTTAGAAATTGGGTGTTAATGAAAAGAAAATGTAGTTAGGCTTATGTGAATATTCTCAATAAAATTTCTTTGGTTCCCAGGAACCAAATGTTAAGTCGCAGGAAGAAAATCTAGAAAACTTGTGGCCTTAATGTGCTAAGCACTTGCCTTGTTTCTACAGAGCGATTTCCAAGCAAATAGTTGTGTAACTATTCATGGTTAACAAATCTTGGATAGGAAATTTGAACTCCGATTAAAAAAAAAAAACCCTCGAGGAATAACCTAATTCACTGAGGATGTACCTAGGTTCCCATTTCAGCTCCCAGCTAATGCATACCAGGTAATGCTGCCTGAAGTTGGTGGCTCTCTGCTTCACTGTCCTATTCCTGGTTGTGGGTGGTGTGATCTTTAGATTAACTGATCTAACCATTGGAGGTTAAAACTGGCTGATGTTTCAAATCAGTAATGTTTAGCAGCTATGTCAAACTGTAGAATGACAAAACATCCCATGAAAGTTTCACATCTGCAGAATGTGACTTGCAAAAGGGAGACATTTAATGTTCAATAAGTCACCAAACCTACAGAATTAACCACGATTAGTTGGAAAGGATACCTATTGTAGAAATTCGAAGTGAAACAGATGTTGAGAAACTCCAACAAGCTCATTTCCATCTCTTCACATGATGTTCTCAGGTTCTGGATGAGCGAATGCAAAATAATGCTTCTAGCATACAGGCTACTCAAAGATGACTTTATTATACACAATGCTTGGGGTGATGGGAGGCATCTATGTACTGCAGAGCCACTGCCAGGCTCAGCAGCGGATCCCCATGCCAATGGCCATGAAGGTCCCGAAGGTGCCACCGCTCTGCATCATGGTCTTCCCGATGCCACCCATCAGCTCACGACCCCGCATTCCGATCCTGTGGAGGAAACCAGCATGGAGATAACTTGGCAAAAGAAACTTGAGCACAGATTATTTGCTCCATTCCAATTTGTGCTAATAATGCTGAGTCCTATCTGGGGTCAGGAAGGCTCCTTCAAGGTTCACAGGACAGTAGATAGCGATAGCCATCTGCCTTTAATCAGTAGTGAGACATGTGCATGGAAAACGGGTTTTTGCAGATTTTGACTTTAGGGTATATAGGAAGACTCAACATTCTTTGGGCGTATCTGATGTGAGAAATTCCCAAATTGGAGACTCAGTAATGTAGAAGTATTAAATATAAAAATGAGCAGTACCATCAAGCTTAGAAAACTTTAATGGCATACTCTAAAGGTGAAAATCACGTTTCACGTGTATCGTTCATTTGCCTCATCCTCACATTCCAAGCCAAGATCGTAAAACCACAGGTCGTCACTGAGCTTTTATCAAGTGCTGGATACTGTGACCTGACTTTCAACACTCAAGGAGTGTGTGTGTCTGGTCTCTTAACACCTTAATGTCCAAAATCTCCACTGAACCCCTAACAGCCCTCGGGGCGGAGCCTGATCTGAGGACGCTGCCCTAGGCTCCCGGCCCAGAAGGGTGCGACGGGGCGGGAAGTGACTGCGTCGCTCCTCACCTTAGGCAGGAAAAGGTGCCGAAGAGCGCCCCGGCCGCCATGCCCACGGCGCAGCCCATCACAAAGCCCATTTTGACGCGGTCGAAGCAGCTGGGCTGGGACTGTCCGTAGGGACCCACGGCTACCGGCATCTGTGGGGGACGAGACAGAGTCAAAGTGCGGGCCTAGACGCGGGCCCCGACGGAGGGGCGCGCCCGGGGCCTCGGGGTACCTCCGGGAGGGCAATCTGTGCGCAGCCTGCCTCCTCTCGGCGTTTTGGCGTCCGGCCTCCCGCTCCGCTCCGGGCCGCACGGCTCCCGCGCCCTTCCTCACCTCGCTCACGGCCTCGGAAGCTCTGCAATACGTCTTCCAGGGAGAGCGAGGCGGAGCGCGCCCGTGGCCCCAGGAATCACTTCCGGGTCGCGCAGCAGCACTTCCGGGCTCCCGGGGTGCGGAGGACGGCGGCGGCTGCCGGAGGTGGACTCGGCCACCGCGACCATGCTGCTGCGATCCGCTTGGAGGCGGGCGGGCCTGGCGGGGAACACTGCTAAGGGAGCCAGGCCTGCCGGGCCCTTTCGCGAGCTGCGCCTGCGCGGTACGCTCCTGCTCGCGCCCTTAATTGGGGCACCCTTTCGACCCTGCGGTCCATTAGGCAGTTTGATATTCTCGAACGTCCCGGGCCGGCCCCACAGCGCACAGCTTTTGCCTTTCTTGTGGTCTCCCCTCCGCCCGGCTCAGGGCGACCGCTGTCCCGCCCCCCAGGCTCAGACCTCTTTGGAGCCTGGTCCTTCCAGACCACTCAGGGTTCGAGCCTCCTGTCCCACCACAGCCTCTGGAAGGCGATCTCACCTGGCAGTTGTGAAGATGGCCCCAGTGTCTTCCTGCAGGACCCAGTCTCCCCTTTTCCCTTATGTCCCTCTCTGGTCGTCTCGGATGTCCTCTTACTTGGCCCCTGCGCCTGTTGTTTCCCGGCAGTTCCTGACCAGGCTCCTCAGTCGCATGTTCCCTCAGAGACAGCACCTGCTACGCGCGCTGAGGCGGCGCTACGGCCTCTCTACATGGATGTTCAGGCTACAACTCCACTGGTAAGAACACCGACAGGCAGCCTTTGCCTGAAGGTCCGCGGTGGGAAGTGTGGAGTAGAGGTGACAGTCCCCAGAAGCCGCTGGGTTCAGGTGGAAGGCAGATCTTGTGGGGGCAAGCAGCCAGCCAGCTGTCCGGAGGCTTACCTTCTCCTGCCTTCACTAGCTGGTGAGTGGTGAACTTAATGAAATCACCCATCCCCAGGAGGGTTCAAGTTCGCTGGAGGGAGCACCACCCAGTGATCAGGAAAGATTGGGTCACTAAATGTTAGATCATGCACATTATGAGCACTTGGCGTCCTGGATGAGCATCTGCATCTCTGTGGGCTGTCCCAGTCCTATCATCTTCCAGCCCTTCCTGACATCACAAGACTCTTGGTAGAGAAAGATGGTACAACCCTTGAATGGAAGGCGGGAGTGTATTACAGTCATATTTGGTTATTTAGAGGAGATGAAGGATGGATGAAGGCTCAGGCTGTGTCTGACTGGTTGGCAGGTGTGATGCACATGAAGGACTTGAGGGAACAACTGGAGGGCTCTGTTGTCTTATGCCTAGGACCCCCGAGTGCTGGATGCCATGCTTCCTTATCTGGTCAACTATTATGGGAATCCCCACTCGCGGACACACGCTTACGGCTGGGAGAGCGAGGCAGCCATGGAACGAGCTCGCCAGGTGAATACAGAAGTGTCTGGAAGGGGTTGAGCTCAGGTTTAGTGGCCTGTGGGAAGTGTTTCCTGCTTGCTAGGAGTTGGCAGACGCAGAAATAGCTTTGAGTTCGTCCTGGAAGAGATATAGACTGCACCTTGTTTGCAGTCATTTGCTTTTTTCCCCTGATTTCTAGCTAACTGGCCTTGAGCTTGTTTCTCTAAACTTCAGTTTCCCACATGTGCAGTGGATATCACACTGGTACCAATTCCCTAGGGCTTTTGTGGTGGGTGAAATGAGACCATATTGGAAGAGTGGGTGGTGAACATAGGACTTGTACCTATGGGAGCTCTGGAAATACATTTTTAGAAAAAACAGTGGTATTTTGTTGGGGGTTGGAAGCAAGGCTGGGATCCAGGCTGTCACAGACTTTGGCAGGCACAGACTGTCTTCCAGGCCTGCTGGTGAGCAGCCATGGGGCTCTCCCTGCTTCGAGCTCTGAGCCAGCTATATCTGTAGCTGTGGTTCTGGGCTGGACGCTGATGTTATGTGTCTGTTTCTGGTTTGCAGCAAGTAGCATCGCTCATTGGGGCTGACCCTCGGGAGATCATTTTCACTAGTGGCGCTACTGAATCCAACAACATAGCCATCAAGGTGAGAGAAAGGTAACTGACAGTGGATCTGGACTGGCCTCTGCCTTGTGTAGGCTCATGTGTAGGCTTTTTTCATAGCTTTCTGCCCCATATTCTTGTGACAGGAAGACGCTCCTGATTTATTGCTTCCTTCTGTCCTTGGCAGTGTATTTTAAGACTGTTGGCTTGAATTCGGCAAAGTGGTTGGCTAGGAGGGGTGTGAGTTTCAGCCCTAGTTTCTTAGATGGCAGCAACTTCAGAAAGTTGATAGTGGTGACTGAAGTCTCTAAGGAGGTCCAGAATCACTTGTATTTGCACGTGTTTCTCCTATACACGATTTTGGGGCTTCCCTCATCTTAGCTTTTTGTTTCTTTTTGAAACTTATTTAGTTATGTATTTGAAAGGTAGAGTTTCAGAGAAAGGTAGAGTTTCAGAGAAAGGAGCAAATATATTCCCTTCTCTGGTTCATTCCCAATGAACATGGCTGGCCCAGGTGAAGGCTAGTAGCCTCAAACTCCATTCAAGTCACTTACATTTGGCAGGAGCTCAAGCGCCTGGGCCATCTTACTTGGTTTCTTACATGCATTAGCAGGGATTTGGTTGGAAACAGGGCACCTGGGACTCAAACCATTGCTCTATAGGATGCCTGTGTTGCAGGCACTGGCTTAACCAGCTGTGCCATAGTGCAGCCCTTCCCTCTTCTTTCTGATCAATTCTGTAACAGGTTTTTTTGATTCGTTTTTAAAGATTTGTTTATTTGATAACAGAGATCTTCCATCTGTTGTTTTATACCCCAGTTGGCCTGAATGGCCCCAGTTAGCTGCAGTGTATGGAGACACATTGGTTGGAAGCTGGGATTCAGCAGCTTCTTTTTTTTTTATATAAGATTTATTTATTTATTTTTATTTCAATGTCCGATGATTCACTCCCCACGTGAGCGCAACGGCCGGTGCTGTCCTGATCCTGAGCCAGGAGCCAGGAACCTCCTCCAGGTCTCCCACACAGGTGCAGGGTCTCAAAGCATTGGGCTGTCCTTGACTGCATTCCCAGGCCACAAGCAGGGAGCTGGATGGGAAGCAGGGCTACCGGAATTAGAACCCGTGCCCATATGGGATCCTGGTGTGTTCAACACGAGGACTTTAACTGCTAGGCCACAACGCCAGGCCCAAATTTCTTCATTTTTAAATGCTTGATGTTGCGTTCTCTGTAGGTATTCGTTTTGGCACATATTCTGGCTGAGTCATTCTGTCCTTGGAACATCAGATCGTTGGTTTTTACACATGTAAAATTCCAGTATTAGGTTTCATGGAACATAAGCATGTTTGACTGGGTCTCAATGCCAGGCTGTTGAGTAAGTGCCAAGGCTCTGAGAAATGGTATTTAGTGAAGCTTCAATGGAGACTCACCCTTTCTTTCCAGTATCTCAGCACTTTGCTGCTGCTTTTGTTTTCTCTGGCCTTGATCTGAGTACAGGAGGCACTAGACAGACTCCCAAGATTAGTTCCCTCCCTAAATCCGTTAGTAAAAAGGTATCCTTTATACTTCAGAGACCACAAAGTCAGAGTGCAGATTCCTCCAAGGATCAGGTGGGCTGGGAGCACTTAAAACTTTGGAAATATTTGGTTTTGACTTTTCCCTAGCTCCCAAACCTAGAGGTCAAGGATTGATGGTAGGGGCCAGCGCTTGGTTGGCTTACTGCCTTCAGGACTGGCATCTCATATGGGTACTAGTTTGAGTTCCAGATGTTCTTCCTCTGGTCCTGTCCCTGCCTCTGTACCTGGAAAATCAGTGGAAGATGGCTTAAGGACATGGGCCCTGGCATCCTTACAGCAGACGAAGGAGAAGTTCCGAGCTCCTGGGTTTTGGCCTGGCTCACTCCCAGCCGTTATAGCCATGTGGGGACTCACCCAGTTGATGGAAGACCTCTGTCTCCAATCTCTGTGTAACTCTGCTTTCCAAATAAATAACTAAATCTTTAAAAAAAAAAAAAAAGTGACATCTACTCATTATGTTGTTTGGTTTACTGCTATTATCCTGTCACCTAGAAAATTACTTGTCACATCAAGTTACTGTTTGAATTGGTGTCTGAATGAATCATAACTATTCAAACAAAGTGGAGCAGAATTCCTTAATTTATTCACAAAGAGATCACTTCTGTTAACCATTTGTTACATATTTCTCAAATTTGTAAACATACATTTGCCTAAATATTATTATTGTAATAAGTATATAATTTTTGAAAGGCATATATATGCGTATATTTATTTATATTTGTATTTGATATAGAGAGAAAGAGAGATAGAGTGATCTTCCCTGCAATGGCTGGAGCTGAGCCGATACTGAGCCAGGAGATGGAGTTGAAGTCATGGCTCGTTGCTCACTCTGTGTTCTTCCTCCTATCACCTCCCATTTCCAGGGAGTGGCCCGATTCTACAGGTCACGGAAAAAGCACTTGATCACCACCCAAACGGAGCACAAGTGTGTCTTGGACTCGTGCCGTTCCCTTGAAGCCGAGGGCTTTAAGGTCACCTACCTCCCTGTGCAGAAGAGTGGGATCATCGACCTGCAGGTAAGAGTAGCTGTGGTCAGGAAGGACAAAACAGCAAGAACCTAGCTTTAATCTGTATGTCTGTCTTTCCCAGCTCACCTTGAACCTGGACTGTAGCTAATGGATGGTGGTGGGAATGGGGGTAGAGAAACAGAGATGTCCTAGAACAAGGTCATGTTCCCCCTGGAGTGTGTATTACTGTTTTCTAGGGAGCCTTGTTTCTCAGCTTTATTGATGTTTTCTTAATGTGTGTAACTGTTCTGCACATATACAGGATTTGAGGGACTCACACTCACCAGGACAAAACTGACCTCCTTCCCTGGGCTGATGCCTCTAAGTCCTTTGAAAAAGAGGAAGAATTTTACTTCTTACTCCATTTTGGCCCATTTCCTTGTGTGTCCGTGTGGCATGCTGGTGTTTCAGACAGCCGCTTATCCTTCTATGCTGTTGCGCCAGCCCTTCATTTTGACATATTGATCTACAGCTTTCTTGTGCTTTGGTTTTGCTACTAGGGTAATGGTGGTCTCATACAACGCCTGAGTTATAAACTACTGCTTCAGACCAGCCCCTTCATAAGACCTCTTATCTAAAGCACACTAACCTTCACATTTCCTGTCCAGTTCTAGCTTGAGCCGTTCCTCGCTGTCCCCTTAATGAACTATTCATCTTTTATTTCCTTTCCTATGTTTGTCTTCCTGTTGGATGAGTGTTGGTTGTAGGGATTAGGATGTTGCTTGGGATGCCACACTCTATATCTGAGTGCTTGGGTTCAAGTCCAGGTTCTGCTTCTGATGCTAACTTGCTGTTAATGTGTGCTTTGATAGAAATTAGATGATGGCTCAAGTATTTGATTCCTTGACACATCAGACATCTGGAAGGAATTTCTGGCTCTTGGCTTTATCGTAGCCCTACGTTGGCTTTGGAGGTATTTGGAAAATGAACTAGCAGTTGGTTAGTTTTCTTTGTCTCACTTTCACTGAGCCATTGTACCAACCCCTGGAAGCAAAGTTTATTCCCCCTGCCTTTCTCTGCTCCTCCTACTAGGTGCCATCTCCTTTTTTCACTGCCAACTTTACATGCATATTGGTCTCAGTTGCGTAAAAAGGCTTGTGGATCTCCAAAATGCCATTGATCAGGGCACTGTCATTCTGTATTGTCTGTGCTCTTGTCACATTTAGAGGGAATGATGCCAACAGAAGTGGAACACTCTCCTATAGGAGGCCTCCTAAAGCTAGGGACTGCACGCAGGCCCCCAGGCTTCTGCCTCCTCTGTTTCGACCAGGCCTTGGAGGATGGGCATGCCATAACTACAGGGCCCTGAGGTCAAGCAGAAGATGAAGGAGTCCCAGAGGCCATCCAACTCAGCCTTGGGGAGACTTGATACCCTGTCTGGCCTGATCCTCCCGACAACATGTGCTGAGCAAGGACTACAGCAAGACCAAATGGGGCCCCTGGCTGCACTTGGGAAAGGGCCTCTTGGACCACCTAGGGACACTGTGCCCTGCCACCTAGTGCACCTGATCTTACCTGTGGTAGGCCTCTGTTATAATGTCCACCTAAACCGGCTGCTGCAAGGTCATGAGGGTCCTGCTCCCTGCAGCCCCCAGCAGCTGCATGCAATTGTCTCGTGGGGCTCCTACAGAAAGACAGGACCCATTTGCACCCCTGTGGCTGTGCTAAAACCTTGACCTTCTAGAGGTAGGTCCAGCACTCAGTGGGGATGCAGCCAGGAGCCCTGTGATAGGTTTTTCTAATCTGGAGACACAGGCTACCCTGTTGATGACACTGTTGTCTACCCCACCTTTCCTCTGTACTGGTGACATCATCTAGTTTGTCAGTTGGCCCAGGCTAGGGACACATTGGTAGCTGGAGCATGGAGGGTGCCCTGTGTGGAGGTACCCCCTGATGAGGTTACTACAGCCAGCTTATGACAGGTGCCACAGCGCTGGACACCATGCACACCTGGACATCATGGCCTTGTAGAAATTAAACTCCACTGCCTATCTTAATTCCTGGGGCTCTTTGTCTTAGTTCCTGCAGCTGTCCCTGGGGCTGCTCAGTAGGCTAGATGGAGTGGACTGGGAACTTGACCCCAAAAGAGGAAGGGTGGGAGGCCTGGTATAGGCAGCATCAAGTGTTTAGGCCTTCAGGGAGTGATCCTGGGGCAGGTGTCCATCCCACATCACTGCTCTAGATGGCTGTGGAATTCAGCCATCGGAGGCACAGGAAAGCCTGTGACAAGAGACTCATGGCTTCTAATCATATCAGCAAAGGGGAAGCCCAAGGCTGAAGGTCAGAGTAGGTTTTACTAATTTTCTGTTGGGGGCAAGGAGCTGAATGGCATTGAACTTTCCTTCCTCCTATGTGTGTATAGTCCGCCATTGTCGCTGGAGTCAGGGCAGGAAGAGAGCTTGGTTCTTGAGTCACTTGCCGGGCATAGAAATGAGGTGCTTGCTGGTGCCCTGAGAAAGGGGCTGGGGCGAATGCTCAGAGGCCCTGGGAGGTGGGTGGGGTGTCTCTGGGTGACACAGAAAGTGACAAGCCCTAGGATGAAGAGGCCCTGGAGGATCAGACTGATGATGAGAGGCCGCAGGAAGGATGGCTGGTCTAGGGCAAGAGAAAGCTGGCACAAAGCTTGGGTGTCGGCACTTCTGCAGAGAGGGGCTAGAGTGGCAAGACTTAGAACATAAAGTAGAAACACAAGACGGGCTCACGGAGGCCTGGAGGACAGTTGCCATAACGGCTGTGATAAGCAAAATGAAGTGATCAGTACGTAGCTGGATGGAAAGTGGAGCTGTCAGGATACAAACCGTAGCCCATTTGGGGTGCTGGCCCTTGGAGGTGGAAGATTAGCCAATTGAGCCACTGTGTCTGTCCCAGTGATGGGCTCTTTTCAAGAGTGAGTTTGCCTATGTTCTGTGTCAGGAGAGACCTTGATGGCACTGTGTAGTCTCTTACTCCTTACTCTTAGGAATTGGAGGCCGCCATCCAGCCAGATACCAGCCTGGTCTCAGTCATGACTGTCAACAATGAGATTGGAGTGAAGCAGCCTATTGCAGAGATAGGTAAGAATCACAGGTTATCCTTGATTCTGGTGAAACAGTGGGTCTGTGTGAGAGAACACGAATAGACTGGGAACTATAGGTAACAATTTGTAGACTGCTATAAGAAAATCAAGGGAAAGAGTTCGTATACCTTGTTGAAGGACATTGGAAGTGGCACAAACTGTGTTTAGTACCCTATTTTTTTTTTCATTTCATTGCAGTTGCAGCAAATAACAAAATTCCTTAGCCTCTTTTCTCTGTATTTAGAATATGTCTTTATTATCCCTACTTAGAGATTGCCCTATAATCTCTTCAGATATGTTAGCAAAAAAAAATCTGTTAAATCTTTGTTTATTTTAAATAAATAAGAAAAAGATCTAAATAGTAATGGATGGCATATAGGAAAAGGCTGCTGTTGCTGAGATCCTAAGAATTTTATGCATTAGAACGTCAGGGGCAAAACAAAAAGAAATGGAAACAGTCATCAAGGCATGTTTGAATTTGCTACTTTGCCATTCATCTATTCATCCCATTGGAGAGAGTGAGAGAGAGGGCAGAGTAAGGAAAGGGTTAATGGAATCCTCAGAAAGGTCATGTCATGTGAGTAGGGACAGGTCCTGGGCATTGTGGCACTGCTGCTGGGCGACTTGGCCACATGTGCTGTTGTTTTTCTAGGGAGGATTTGCAGCTCCAGAAAGGTGTATTTCCATACCGATGCAGCCCAGGCAGTTGGAAAAATTCCACTTGATGTCAGTGACATGAAAATCGATCTCATGAGCATCAGCGGTCACAAAATCTATGGTCCCAAAGGTACCAGTGCTTCTTATACTTTTCTCTTTCTGCATCTCCCAGAAAACCATTTGGCAGATGTTCCTTAGAGTCATTTAGTATTATCATCACTGTTAAAGGAAGGTGTATTTTCACAGTTCCTTGCCAAATGCAGGTTTCAAACAAAAGTTTCAAAAATAATTGCACATTCAGGGCCCGGCGCCATGGCCTAGCAGCTAAAGTCCTAGCCTTGCATGCCTGGGATCCCATATGGGCGCTGGTCCAAGCAGTTACTGTGTAGATAACAGGGCATTCTTCTTGAGCTTCTGTTTAAAAAAAAAAAATTCTTAGAAGACATGTAGCTGTCAGTCTGGTTGGGGAACAAGCTTTGTAGAATCAGATTTCATCACATAGGCACAGCCATCTTGTCTGCTTCAAGAGGATGGGCAGGGCAACAGTTTTTGAGTCCTTTGTTCTCTCAGTCTGGCTTGACCTTAGTGATGGATTGTACAGGTATGTGTCTGTTGCAGACTCAGGAGTCGGTTCTCCTGTTGGTCTGTAGGATTGCTGGCTGGTCCTCTGGGCCCAGGAATGTTTGCAGGCTTGAGATCTGATCCCTCGTCCTAAACCCTAGGGAGAGATTGTGACCCTCTGTGGAGGTAGCCATAAAAAAATAAATAATTTCTCTGTCTGTGGAGGAAGGGCCCCGTTTTTATTTTAATTTTTATTGTAAAGTCAGATATGCAGAGAGGAAGAGAGACGGAGGAAGATTTTCTGTCTGTGGATTCACTCCCCAAGTGGCTGCAACAGCCTGGACTGAGCTAATATGAAGCCTGGATTCAGGAGCCCAGAGCCTGTTCCGGATCTCCCACATGGGTGCAGGGTCCCAAGGCTTTGGGCCATCCTCAACTGCTTTCCCAGGTCACAAGCAGGGAGCTGGATGGGAAATGAGGCTATTGGGATTAAAATCAGTACCCATATGGGATTCCAGTGAGTGTAAGGCAAAGACTTTATCCACTAGGGCACTCCACCGGACCCAAAAGGGCCCTTTTTCATTGATGTCCGATGACATGCGGTGTCTGCAAGGTGCGTCATATCCCTGTGGTGATGGTGGGACAGCTGTGGCCTGTATGATGAAGTTGGCTTATTCTAGGGCTTCCTAGATTTGGTGAGAGATTGTTTTATGAACTATTATTAGAAAAACAAAAATAAAAAACAACCCAGATGCATTCTATCTTTAATTAGAGTGCTGACTTGGTTAGGTATTTCATACATATATCTGTGTTTTTTGTTTTTTGTTTTGTTTTGTTTTGTTTTAGTGAGATTTGAAAGTAGAATGATAGAGAGATGGAAAGTAAATACATCTTCCATCTACTAGTTTTTTCTTTAGATGTTTGCCATGGCTGAGGCTTGTTCAGGTTGACCCTAGGAAACTTTGCCAGGTCTCACACAAGCCCAAGTGCTTGGTCCCTACACTGCCCTGGAGATCTGCAATAAGCTCCTGGCTCCTGGTGGTTGTGGCCATTTGGGGAATGAACCTGGGGATGAAAGATTTTTCACTTTCTATCTGTCTCTCTGTAACTTTGCCTTTCAAATTAATAAAATGCAACAAAACAAAACAAAAACCTTAAAATTAATTATTGATTTATTACTGATATTCTTTTTCTTCAGATTTTTTCATTAGAAAAATTTCAAGCCTACAGAAAGTTGAGATAAGATATTGGCAGCTTTGGGCAATGGTCCTTCATTTCATCTGTGTCTTCTGTTTTTCTTCTATGTTGTAAATAACTTTGTTCCCTAGGGGTTGGTGCCATCTACATCCGCCGCCGGCCCCGCGTACGTGTGGAGGCCCTGCAAAGTGGAGGAGGACAGGAGCGTGGTATGAGGTCCGGGACAGTGCCCACACCACTGGTGGTGGGGCTTGGGGCTGCGTGTGAAGTGGCACAGCAAGAGATGGAGGTATGGGGAGAGCGTTTGCTCCCATCACTTTTTCCCCTGTGCTGGGACTCTTATTTAAAGTGATCCTTAAATGATTGATCGCTCCCTGAAGAGGAAGTTGAAGAAAATCCTTCTTTGTCCTAATGGTTATTGGCACTTTGTTCATAGTTGGTGTTACAGAGCCAAACTCCACGACCCTTTAAGGGCAGTTAGCTGTGTTTACAATTGTGTGCCTTTCACAGTCTAGCTGCCCTGCTCGCTTCTGGGAACACGGATCTCCCTGGATACATAGGAAGATAAGTGGGCACGGTCACTGCTGGGTGGAAAAAGGTTTCTTAGTCATTGTGTCTTTGGGAACCAGTGTGCTTAGTCTGCCTTATCTGTTGTTTAGTACGACCATCAGCACATCTCCAAGTTAGCAGAACGGCTGACGCAGAAGATAATGAAGAGCCTTCCTGATGTGGTGATGAACGGAGACCCTGAGCACCATTATCCCGGTATAGATGTGCGCCTTCTATCCCTATTCTAGAAGGAACTGGGGCTCTGCAATCCCTCTCACAGCTTTTCTCCCCTGTAGGCTGCATCAACCTTTCTTTTGCATATGTGGAAGGGGAGAGTCTGCTTATGGCACTTAAAGACGTTGCCTTATCCTCAGGCAGGTGAGTTGGCTTGGGAAGTGAACAGATGGGGCTGACACATGGCTCCTCAGTTCACGGTGTAAGAGTTCCTGAATGAAGGGTAATGGTCACTTTGAAGTGGCTTTGCACAGGTGACATGTGCCACCCAGGGAGGGCTCCTGGGGCATTTTTGTGCCTTTTATGAACTCATGGAATGAGTAAGGCTGTGTTTTCTCTGGTGTTAACACCAGCAGTTCTCTTCTATGCCTCCAGAACTGAAGTGTTCCAAGGTCTCTAAAGGTCTAGTGGCTCTCTCCAGGGTTGTCCAGAAGGTATATTTTGTTCCAAGGGAGTGGGCATATGGTCCCTCTGTTGCCTGTTTTTGTCAAATGTAATTCCTACTGCCCTAACTGATGCTGAATCTCATTTTGGCAGTGTCCTGTTCCCGGAGGTTTGCATCCAGAGACCAAAGGTGTCAGGTTCATGCCCTAGGATGTGCAGGGCAGCATCAGGCCCTGTAACTCTATGTGAATAGTTGATGTCCTGTGTTTCTGTGGAAGAACACCAGGCACTGGGACAGAGCAGTGGAACTGTAGGCTTATAGCTGGGTGCTGATGTTAATGATGAACTAAGCCAGGAATTTGTCTCTCCTTAGTGCCTGCACCTCTGCATCCCTGGAGCCTTCTTACGTCCTCAGAGCGATTGGCACTGATGAGGACTTGGCACACTCTTCCATCAGGTGAGGCATTACAACAGCCACAATCATGGAAGGCATCTTTGAATGCATTTCATCTCCTGTTACAAGCTTCTTCATTCTCATTCTTTACTTCCTCTGGATTCTTTTTTTCCCCCCTTAACATTGATTTATTTTTATTAGAAAGGCAGATTTACAGAGAAAAAGAGAGACAAAGATCTTCCATCTGTTTGTTCACTCTTAAATGGCCTCAAAAGCCAGAGCTGAGCCAGTCTAAAGCCAGCAGTGAAAAGCTCCTTCCAGGTCTGCCATGCAGTTGCAGAGTCCCAAGGCTTTGGGCCATCCTACATTGCTTTCCCAGGCAACAATCAGGGAGCTGGATGGGAAGTTGAACAGCCGGGATACGAATTGGCACCTATATGCGTTCTTGCCACTTTAAGGGGAAGGATTAACCAATTGAGCCATTGTGCCAGGCCCTTTTTCTTGATTCTTTATGAAAGTTTTTGGAGCATTGACTCTCAGACTGGATTGATGTCACTAGGCAAGTTTGTGGAGGTGACAGTATGTGAGCCTCAAATTTTAGATACTATGCTTTCATAGCACACATATAGGAACCATAGAAGAGACAGAGTACTGGCATGTGGGACAGCTCAGAAAAGTATAGGCAATAGGTGGAATTTACCATGGTAAAAACATCACAAACAGTATTTAGTTCCTGTCAATGAAATGTATTTGCTTTCTAAATATTCAAATGATGGCACTGTGTATATATATATATAAGCAACACTGCTCTGGCTTTCTTAATCCTTCCCATGGAGCACTTACTCTTAGGACAGGCTGCTGCAGCCATTATAACCAGTTGTTTCCTGGGGCTTCACCCCAGATGGATTTTTGGACATCTACCTTTCCCTTCCTGTGGTCAAGGGACCTCTTTTCTCTGCCACCTACTCCTTGAACACAATGACCACTCTCCAGCGTTTGGGTTCAATAGGTCCAAAGGAAAGTAGGAAATTTCCTGTCGGGTGAATCTAATGTTGATGGTCCCTAGACCACATTCTGAGAAACTCTGACACACTGGGCAGTAACAGGTTCCTTCTGTTTCTTTAATGTTGTGGGCCCTCCAGAAGTGTTGGCTGTCTGAATTTACCCCGACCCAGGGTGCTGACAGAGCTCCTCCCCTGGGACTGTTTCAGGTTTGGCATTGGCCGCTTCACCACAGAGGAGGAAGTGGACTTCACAGCGGAGAAGTGCATTCATCATGTAAAACGACTTCGAGAAATGAGGTACACCCTCTTATATCAGAGACTTTTTGTCATTTTTAAGTTCTGCTGAATTTATTTCAAAGGCAAAGTTACCGACAAAGAGTGAGAGACAAGTCTCCTCTGTCCCCTGCAGTGGGCACCATGTCATGGCCGGGTCATGCAGAAGGCTGGAGTCTAAAATCATATCTGTGTCTCACACTCCTCCATTCCCAGATGCATTACCAGGCACCTGGTTCACAAGTAGGGAAGAAATTGGCACTCAGTGCCTCAAATCAAAGCTTATCCCAACGCTTCCCCACGCAGGCCCCCATCAGAGACACTTTGGAAGAAATCAGATTGTCACTTTCCTTCCATCATCTGTTTTATTTCCAGCCAAGAATCAAGAGATTCTGAATCTCCCACACAGCTGCAGGGTTCCCAGGCTTTGCACTGTCCTCTACTGCTGTCCCAGGCCACAGGCAAGCAGCTCCTTCCGTCAGTTCTGTGTACACATTGTTAGAAACTAAAATTTGAGAGTACTTCCATTTAGGAATTAGAGATTCCACAGAGCAATAGAGTTTATCTCCACCTTGGTTTCTTCATTTTAGAATATGAGAATGCATTTTTAAAATCTAAAGGATGGGGCCTGGCATGATAGCCTAGCTGTTAAAGTCCTCGCCTTGCACGCACCAGATCCCATATGGGTACCAGTTTTAATTCCAGCAGCCCTGCTTCCCATCCACCTCCCTGCTTGTGGCCTGGGAAGGCAGTGGAGGACGACCCAAGGCTTTGGGACCCTGCACCCACATGGGAGACCCGGAAGTGGTTCCTGCCTCCTGGATTCAGATTGACGCAGCACTGGTCAAGTTCTTCGAGCCAGTGTTTTCTCCCTTGTAAATTTTCATTCATTCCTTGACTCTTCTCTTTGGCAGCCCTCTGTGGGAGATGGTGCAGGATGGCATCGACCTCAAGAGCATCAAGTGGACCCAACACTAGAAGATTGGATCTGAATTTGTACTGGCCTGCCCCTCCTGTTTCACCCATGTACAGCCAGGCACCTTGTGCATCCAGTCAGTGTGCCATGGTGATGACAACATTGATATACTGATGTCAGCATCTCTTTCACCTCCATGACAGAAACACAAGGAAAGTTAATGCAGCATTAGCTCTCCAATTGTCTTCAGGAGTTCTGTGGTCATAGACTGTGTGGATGTTCTTCTCCTGAGGCAGTGCAGACATTTGCTATGATATTGCTGCTGGACAGTCCAGGTGGGGAATGCCAGGGTACCAGAGTTGGGTGTTTGTTTAGGGACCCTGATGCTCTTTGGCAAGTGGTCTCTTTCTGCTGCTCAACTGGATTGGCTCCTTCAACAGTAAGCTGAATTGACTGCTTCAATTTAAAATTTTCCATAGCTCCAAAGGATATATGTTCATATTCACTGTAGACCAAACAGTGGATTTGTGAGATGGCATCTCTTCCTTCTTTTCCCATCTTCCTCATTTTCTTTTGACCCAATGGAACCAGAAATCTTTATGATCCTACCCAATCACTGAAATAATTTGTGTTTTTTCCTTAATTTTGAAACTGGAGAAATAAACTCCCTTTGTTGTATTTACTGTTACTCTGTGAGAAGCAGAGGGTGAAGGGAAAATTACTCTGAGAAGCCAAGAACAAGAATTCTCTCCCATTCGGTTTCCACAGGTGACTCAGTTGGCTCATGGTGTGATGGGTTAATATCGTGCGATCATGACATCACACCTGGGAAAGGAGCAAGAAGTGGCCCAGGTGCTTGGGCTTCTGCATCACATGGGAGACCTAGAAGAAGCTTCAGGCTGCTGGTTTCAGACTGGCTCAGCTGTGACTGTTGTGTACATTTAGGAAGTTTATCCAGTGGATGGAAGATCTGTTTATCTCACCTCTCTATATAAATTTTTCAAATAAAATAAAATGATTCGGGTTCTGCGTGGTAGCCTACCACCTAAAGTCCTAGCTTTGAATGTGCCAGGATCCCATATGGGCTCCAAGTCTAATTCCCATGTCCCGTATCCAGCTCCCTACTTGTTTCCTGGGAAAGCAGTTGAGAATGGCCCAAAGCCTTGGAACCCTGCACCTGAATGGGAGGTTCCGGAGAATATTCCAGGCTACTGGCTTTGGATCATCGCAGCTCTGGCTGTTGTGGCCACTTGGGGTGTGAATCAACGGATGGAAGGTCTTCCTCTCTGTCTCTCTTGCTCTCTATATATCTGACTTTCCAATAAAAATAAATAAATGAGTCTTAATAAATAAGTAAATCCATGAGTGTGCACGCACACACACACACACACACTCTTATATATATTATTTGAAAGGCAGTGAAACAAATGCACAGAGAGCTAGACATGGAGATTTGCTGTTCACCAGCCCACTCTCAAATCCCTGCAACAGCCAGAGCTGAGCTGGACCAGCCTGATACTTGGAGCCCAGAACTCAATCTGGCTTCCATTTGCGTGGCAAGGAAGGTCCCAAGTAGTAGAGCCATGCATTCAGATAGTGGATGCAGCTGTCCTAGCCAGTGACCCAACAACTGCGTCAAGCACTTGCTCTGTGGAGGTCATTATGAAGCAGAAATAAGACAAACCCTTAACGGGTAAGAAACAATAGTAAGGGCAAATTATGTTGAGAAAAAACATGATATGTTGGAGAAACTAAGAGAAGGCTAGAGCAGCTGCAATTGAGTTTATATAAAATCGTGGTGTCATTATCAAAACGTAGGAGATTAACAGTGGTACTTTTGAATAACCTTTAGATTTCATCCATTTTCCAGTAGGAATTAGTCCTTTTTGTGTTCTAGGACATGGCTTGATACCACACTGCATTTAATAGACTATGTTTTGAATATGATATTATATTTTCAAATTATGTATAAAATACAGGTTTTATTTACAAATGTGATCTGGTTTTTTTTGCTTGTTTTTTCAGTTTGCTCACTTTGGCATGTCAAATCTGTCACACAAGTCTTCTTAAAAACATGCTGGGGGTCAGTCGTTTGTTTCCTCACTTTTGTTTCCTCTTTAATAAATTACAGAGGGGGCCCGGTGCGGTGGCCTAGCGCCTAAAGTCCTCGCCTTGCATGTGCCGGGAACCCATATGGGTGTCAGTTCTAATCCCTGAAGCCCTGTTTCCCATCCAGCTCCCTGCTTGTGGCCTGGGAAAGCAGTCGAGGAAAGCCCAAAGCTTTGAGATCCTACACCCACGTGGGAGACCAGGAAGATGCTCTGGGCTCCTGGCTTCGGATTGGGGCAGCTCTGGCTATTGTGGCCACTTGGGGAGTGAATCATTGGATAGTAGATCTTTCTCTCTGTCTCTCATCATTTTGATATAGCTGACTTTGAAATAAAAACAAATATTTTCAAAAAAGTGACACAGAGAGAAATTCTTCCATCATGTGGTTCACTCCCCAATGGCCTTAAAAACAATGGCTGGGACACCCCAAAGTCACCATTACAGAGCCTTGGTGCAGGGGTCCTAGCCCTTAAACTGTCTTATGCTGCTTTTCCAGGAGCATTAATAGGGAGCTAGATTGGAAATGAAGCAGCTGGGCCCGGCAGCATGGCCTGGTGGCTACAGTCCTCGCCTTGAACGTGCCTGGATCCCATATGGGCACTGGTTCTAATCCAAACAGCTCCACTTCCCATCCAGCTCCCTGCTTGTGGCCTGGGAAAGCAGTCGAGGACGGCCCAATGCTTTGGGACCCTGCCCCCCTGTGGGTTACCCGGAGGAAGTTCCTGGATCCTGGCTTCGGATTGGCATAGCATCGGCTGTTGCACTCTCTTGGGGAGTGAATCATTGGACGGAAGATCTTCCTCTCTGTATTTCTGACTTTTCCAATAAATAAATAAATCTTAAAAAAAAAAAAAAGAAATGAAGCAGCCACATTTCCAACCATCACCTATATGGAATGTTACTTGCATAAGTTTAAGTTGCTATGCCACATCACTGGCCCTTTATTTTTTGCTTGCAAGGCTAGGTCAATGATGGGGATATTCATTAAGATATAAACTAAAATAGGAGTAATAGAGTCTGGGGCTGGGGTTAAGACTAAAGAAATATGGAAATATAGTTTCTTAATACATCTTTTTAAGATTTACTTATTTTTATTGGAAATTCAGATTTACAGAGAGCAGAAACAGTGATCTTCCATCCTCTGTTTCACTTACCAAGTTGGCTGCAACAGCTGAAACTGTGCTGGACTGATCTGGACCCAGGAGCCTCTTCTGGGTCTCCCACACCAGTGCAGGGTTCCAATGCTTTGGGGCGTCCTACATTGCTTTCCCAGGCCACAAGTTGGGAGCTGGATGCAAAGCACAACAGCCAGAACAGGAACTGGCACCCATATCAGAGCCCGGTACAAGGCAAGAATTTAGCCACTCAGCTACCTAGCCAGGTCCAGAAATATGTCTTTTTAAAAATATAAGATCATGGGCCTATTGCAATGGCTAATCCTCACCTTTCATGTGCCAAGATCCCTGCACAATGACCCTGCATACTTTTTGGGTATGGGAGACCTTGAAGAAGCTCCTGGCTTCTCCCTTTGGATAGGCTCAGCTCTGGCTGTTTCAGCCACTGGGGAGTGAATCAGTGGACGGAAAATCTCTGTATTGTTTTTTTCTTTTAATAATTGCACTGTTTTTTAAGATCTATTTTATTTTTGTATTGTAAAGGCAGATATACAGAGCTTCTTCCTGTGGATCTCCCAGGTGAGTTCAGGGTCCCAATGCTTTGGGTCACCTCTTACTGCCTTCACAGGCTGCAAGCAGGAAGCTGGACGGGAAGTGGACCAGCAGACAGAAAGTGTTGCCCCATATGTGATCTGGGCAGATGCAAGTTGAGGATTTAGCTACTAGGCTATAGCACCGGGCCCACTCTTTCTCTGTAAATTGTTCTGCTTTTCCAATAAAATAAATATTGAAAGAAAGCAAAACAAACAAACAAAAAACATTGTAATGGCTCTGGTGACAGTGGAGTGGTCTTCCATGTGCTGGTTCCCTCAAGAAAAACTCCCAAACAGACAGAATCGAGAAGCCAGATCCATTGTGGGCCCAACTACTGGCACCACCTACTGTTGGTTTCCCCAGGCGCATGAGCAGATTCCTGGCCAAGATGCCAAACAGCAGGAGTGAACATACTGGTGTTAACTGGATTAAAATTTGTTAATGCAAAAAGCATTTTCATTTGTTATTACCAACACAAGCATCCACCAGTTCCTGGATCTTACATTAAATACAGTATTCGGGGTGTGCGCAAGGGCTCAAGTGGCTATTCCTCCACCTCCAGACACAGCATCCCATGCACGCACCGATTCTACCCCAGGCTGCTCCACTTCCCTCTGCCGGTCTGTGGCCTGGGAAAGCAGTGGGGAATGGCCCAAAGCCGTGGGACCCTGCAGCATGTGGGAGACCGGGAAGAAGCTCCTGGCTCCTGATTGGCTCAGGCGCAGCAATTAACAGCCGGATTGAACCAGTGGAAGGGAGATTCTTCCGTTTCTCCTTTTCTCTGTAAATCTCCTTCCAATGAAAATACATAAATCTTCAAATAAATTAAAAAATATATATTCAACACAGTTTGAGTTTGGCACCGTGTCCCTCCTTTCGCGCAGGCGCCACCGAGTGAAGCAAGGGTCTGAAATCCCAGTCAGAGGCCGAGGGGACAGTCGTCCCCACCGCGCAGCCTCAACACCTCGCGTCGCCAGCGCCATCTCTAATCCCTCTCACGCCAAACCCCGGCGACTTCCGGGAGCTCTCGCGGCAGCCGCAGCGCGCCTGCGCCGCGCCGCCCCGTGACGTCCGCCACTCCGGCCCGCCCCGACCGGAACGCGGAGTCGCGGTTCAGCCTGGCGGCCATTTTCTGAAGCGGCGAAGGAGGTGGTGGCTGCGTTGGGCTCCTGGAAGCCGTCCGAGCTGGGGCTGTCGTCCGCGGGGCGGAGGCTCTCGCGCGGGGGGTAACTCGGGTCTGGGTTCTGGTGCCCAACAGCTCTCCCTGGTAAGACTCCCGCAGCCCCGGAACGGGCGGGGCTGTGCGGGGCTCGAGCCGCCCCTAGGTGGCCCGGGGCGGGGCCTTCGGAGGAGGCCTCCCGTGCCCGCCGCAGCCAGTTCCCCACACAAAGGGACGAGGCCAGGTTGCGGAGGCCCCGGGATGGGTGGACGCCGCTGACCCTTTGGGGTGTGAGGGAAATGCAGAGAGGACCCCGGAGGATGAGCCTGCCTCCCGGAGTGGGAACGAGGCCATGGCGTGGACGCCTCCCTCTCGTCACCTGAGGGAGGAGGCCCGAGCCGGGTGGCTCCAAGCGGCTTGCGAACTAACGGGGACTGCAGTGAAAACACAAACACTTATCCCGAATGCAGAAGGCGTTCTGTGTCCGCAAATGTGGTAGAAATCCCTGCCAGCCTGCTGCTTCCCCCCCGAAGTGGGGATGGAACGTGGTCGTGCCGTCCCTGCCTCCGCCTTGCTGGAAAAGCAGGCTCCAGTGTGGACCTGCCCGTGGGGCGGAAAGCTGCTGTCGGGACCCTCCTGAGAATCCGCGACGGAAGTCTCGGAGGAGGGTTCCCCTCTGCTCTCCCGCGGTGGCCTAAAGGTGTAGGGAGCGGCGAGCGGACTGCGTCCAATGCCCAGCTCGGGGAAGTAGGGGGCGACCACGCTTCCTGAGGCTCAGAAATGTAGTGAGAGTCTCCTCCATGGGTCCCCACCCCCTCGGTCAGGAGCCGAATGCCCTCCCTGAGGTTTAGGAGGAGGAGGTCCCGTGAGATGCGGAGGGTGGGAGCAGAGTTGGAAGGGTAGTTTTCTCCGCAGTGTGGCGGAGGTAGTTTGCAGCCTCGTGAGGTGGTGGGCGGAGCCTCGTTGTGGCCTTGTGCTGGCTGGCCTGAGTGGGTGGGTATTCGTTGGTGGGCACTAGGGCAGCGCGCCTAGCTGCTCGGCGGTGATGGCCTGGACGTCTTGAGTGACTCCCGGTAAGCCCTCATCAGGCCTCTTCTCCATTCTGAGCCAGCCTTCAGCTGCGTGCTGCAGATGGAGAATTGCACACTCTGCAGTGGACCGGGTCATGGCGGTTTTCTCTGCCTCTTGGATCCTCAAAGTTGGCCCAGTGTGATTGGGGGAGGTTGGCAGGAATCGTTTTGTGTTATCAGGGTTAGGGTGATGGTCAGTCTCCAGAACTTGAAAAACGGGATGGCAATGAAAGATTTGTTGAAGGCATGGGACCGGAGTTGTTTTTGCTCTTCCTTGAATGGTTTGAAGTAGTGTGATTTGCCTTCGGATCTGGTTAACTGGTTGTGTTAATACGTTTCAGAGTATTTGAAGTTGAAAGAAACAAAACCTTGCAAGTTTGGGCACGTAGTGAGAAATCTTGCTTTTTGAAGTGATGGACTACAAGACTGGTTGTGCTTGTTTTTGAAATCTGGTAGTTGTTTTTTTTTTTTTTAAGACTTATTTTTATTGGAAAGTCAGAGAGGAAGATCATCTGTCCATTGATCCAAGTGGTTGCAATGGTCATAGCTGAGCTGATCCTAAGCCACGAGCTACGAGCCTCTTCCAGATCTCCAATGTGGGTGCAGGCTCCCAAGGCCTTGGTCTGTCATGGACTGCTTTCCTAGGCCACAAGCAGGGAGCTGAATGGGAAGCAGCCACTGGGGTAAGAACTGGAAACCCTGTGGGATCCTGGTATGTGCAAGGCGAGGACTTTAGGTGCTAGGCTACTGCACAGGGTCCGAAATCTGATTGTTTTGATGGAAAGAAGTTTTGTTAGTGGAAAGTAATTGTGTTCAGATGTTTTCCAAGAATACTAAAAATTTTAAAAAGAGCTTTTGTGGGTTTCTTAAGTGAATTCTTTGGTCATTTTTTAAGAAAATTAAATGTTTGTGTTTCTATGAAGGTGTGTAAGGATTACTGTGTTATTGGGCAGTTTTTTTTTCTCATGAAATAGGAAATGCATCGGTATCTCTTTAGTATTGTAGGATGTTCGGCACCAAAACATGGCAGCAACCTCGTTTCTTGTCTTACATGAAAGAAGTTGTTTCATGTGACCAACTCTAGTTTTAAAGCGGGATTTATTTGAAGAGAGTAGGGAGCATGCCTCCTGCCCTAGTGGCAGAAGGGGGGTCCCTGGGAGGAAACATCCTTGCTCTAGAGAAAATAGTACGTTTTAAACCTCAGCTCAAAAGGAATTTCTCCAAGAATAAAGGAAAGATTCCCGTAGCACCTGGCTCTGAAACAAAAGCCCCAGAAGGGTGGGGTGGGTTAATTTCCTCATTCCCCTTCTAATTGATCATTCAGGCACTGCCTCCTGGACAGTGTCCTGGAGATGAGATTAGGTGGGTCACCTCCAGATGGTGAATTGTTAATTCTGCCCCAATTGGGTGTCCTTGGGAGAAATGTGCTTTGGGGAAATTAAGATGTGGGGGAGAAAATACTATTTTATATTTAAAAAATAACTTGGGGACCAGAAAAAACTCTAGCCGTCTGACTCCTCACATATTATGCTCTGTTAAATGTTGATTTCTTCGTTTATGGATTGTAATGCGTGATTTGTTTTTCTTATGCTCCTTTGTGCTAGATGAAATATGTTAAGCTTCAGAACTGTTTTGGTAGTTACTTGCAACATGTTGTTATGTGCTAATATCAGTACATGGTAGGCTTCTTTCCCTTTTTTGATGATTTACATTTCTGGTTGACTGCGTATTGAGCATTTGGTGTATTTTGGTGGAGTTTTAGATATGAAGGTTGCTTTTGTGAGTCAGTGTGTTGTGGGTACTGAAGTCCAGTGTGTTGATGTTGATACCGTTTATTCCATTTTGCAGAGAGCTACTCCCTCCTTCAGTTTGAATGAATGAATGCTTTCTTCTGTAAACATTACAGGAAAAACTAAGTATCAAAAATTGGTTGCACAAAAGATGCCCTAAAATGGATAGTTATCCAGTGTTTGAATTTTTTTGCTTGACCTACAAGTAATTACTAAATGTTCATGGAATAAGTGAACATTGTTTTTAGATCTACTAAACAAAATTAATTTCACGTAAATTACCACTGTATGCCAAGAGGGAGGGACAAAGATCTTCCTTTTCCTGGTTCACTTCCCAGATGGCTGCAATGGCTGGAGCTAAGCTAATGCAAATCCAGGAGCCAGAACTTCTTCCAGGTCTCCCACATGGGTGCAGGGTCCCAAGGCTTTGGGTCGTCATGGACTGCTTTCCTAACCCATAAGCAGGGTGCTGGATGGGAAGTGGAGCACCCATCACCCGAAACAGCACCAGGTTGGAATGCCAGTGCTTGAAACCTGGGGATTAGCCAGTTGTCACGAGGCCAACCCCTTAGTTGATTAAGCTTAGACTCTGCTTTACCTTACAGTAAGGGTGACTGTATTTGGTTAGATTGGAAGCTGATTTTTTTGTTTTGAAGTTTAGGTAAATTATGAACATTGTTGTTGACATCTGAGAGGATCAGAAGATAATGTCTTTTTGGTTTTTGGTAGAAGAAATGTTATTTAGAAATATCATTTGATTTTCTGCCTTTGGGTACTGAACAGAAGTTGGTGGTAAAATTTAATGATGAACTATAAAAAGGATACATCTCCATCCATCACTGTTGGAAGAATTTTTCATGCCGGAATCTGATATTGTTCCATTTGGGGGTGAGAGACAAAATACCATGAATAAACTGTGGTGGCTTTGTAACACCTGCCACAATGTGAGTGTACTGCCTACAGCATTGTGCCCGTTGGTTTGAGTCTCTGTTATTCATTTGTGAGGTAAAAATTTGAGGGGTTGCTGGTTTTTTGTTTCTTTTGCATCTGAAGAACCTAGCTCTTAGTACCCTGGCTCATGTGAAGAATAATAACAGTTAAAATTCACCCTTGGATGTTTAATACCAGTTGAAGAGTATAAATGATCAGGTTTTAGTTTGTACCATGATTTCTTGCTAGAAAAATTTGTCAAACATTTTGAAATTTCAAGTGATTGGAATAGCAAGTAAGTGTTCCTAATATTCTAAGGTTTTGTAGCATATATTTATAATTTGTGCATCTCTGGTATTTGTGAAGCTACCTTGAAGTAAGGTGTGTGGTAAAATAAGCTTCTTCTCTTAGATCTTCTGAAATATATCAGTGGAGCCTAATGATGGAGCAAGCAGATTTTCTTCTTCACTCTTTAAATTCTATGTATAGATAAAATATTTATTGGTGTTTGAGTCTTTAGTATTTTTCTTCCAAAGGTTAAGGTGGATGGGTGGGTTTTTCATTTTGTAATCATCTGTGGAGCTGATATCTCTCAGCATACAGGAAGAGACTCCTGGAAAACAGTGTTGACTTAAATTATGTGGTCTTCATAAAGTGGGTGCTGTAAACAAACGTGCCTTACATTTTCAGTTCCCATTTCCCTGTCTGGTTTGAAGAACTACACCTGATGTTCTTCAAGTATACTGAGGTTCTGACTTCAGCCTTTGCTGCATTTTTCCGTAGCATGCCGTAGCTTCCTCTTCGCTGAAGAGGAGCAGAACCACAAGTATTATCTGGGATTATCTGTGCCTTAAATTAAGCAACTGAAACTTTAACTAGTCATTTCTTCATAGCTTCAGGCAGCCCAGTAGATATTTTGAGGCGAGATCTAATAAGTTCTCTGTGGGTTTAACTGGCTAGCTTTGGGTTTGTCCTTTCTTAGGCAAGACTTGCTGTTTTGGGGCTGAGAGGGGAGAGGTTGAGGAATCTGTGTCCGCTGTATTTGGGAAATTGGCCTGACTCCATGTTTTATTTTCATTGGAAAGTCAGATGTACAAAGAGGAGGAGAGATAAGAGAGGAAGATCTTCCGTCCGATGATTCACTCCCCAAGCGACCCCAACAGCAGCCGTAGCTGCGCCAAACCGAAGCCAGGAGCCAGGAGCCTCTTCCAGGTCTCCTACACGGGTGCAGGGTCCCAAGGCTTTGGGCCGTCTTCAACTGCTTTCCCAGGCCTCAGACAGGGTGCTGAATGGGAAATGAAGCAGGGCTGCTGGCTTAGAACCTGTGCACATATGGGATTCCTGCACAGGCAAGGTGAGGACCTTAGCTGCTAGGCTACTATACCAGGATCATACCTGAACTTTTGAATTGATGTCTTCAGGAGAGGTCAGATGTTTATCAAAAGTGCTTAATTAGAAAATCACTCTGGTTAAGAGACTATTAAGAGTCAAACCTTTAAAGAGCAGATAGTTCAATCCATAATATCCCCCTTATGGAAGCAAGTATTTTGTTGATATTGTTCCACATTTTACTTTGTGACCATTTAAAACAAAGATTTATTTAATTGAAAGGCAGAATTAGAGAAGGAGAGACAACCTAAATGGTTGCAATTGGCAGGGCTGGGGTAAGCAGAAGGCAGTTGCCAAGAGCCAATCTTGCTCTGCTTTCCTAGGCACTTTAGCAGGGAGCTCTTTTGGAAGTGGAGCAACTGGAACTCAAATCAGTACCCATATGGTACACCGTGAAGGCGATTATTTTGAAAGGCAGAATAAAAGAAGGAGAGTTACCTTTGATTTGCTGATTCTCTCTACAAATGCCTGTCGCAACTAGGGGTAGACCAAGCTAAAGCCAGGAGCCAGGAAGTCCATCCAGGTCTCCCACATGAGTAGTAGGAACCCAAATATTTAGACCATGTTCAGCTGCTTTTCCAGGTGCTGCATTAGATTGAAACTATATCAGAAGAAATAGGTAGTAGAACAAGAACCAGGTACTCTGATCTGAAATGCTACAACAAATCCCCGCCCCTAAATAATGGCTTTTGAGTAAAAAAGGCATTTTTGGTTTTTGTTATTTAAGATCTTTATTTGGAAGGGAAAGGGACAGGAAAAGAGATCTTCCATCTGCTTATTGGTTCACTCTGCGGATGGCAGCAACAATCTGAGTTGGGCCTAGTGGAAGCCAAGAGCTGGGAGTTCTGTCTGTGGCAGGGACCCCAATGAGTCATTTCTGCTTTTCCTGGTGCTTTAGTAGTAATTCTGAAAACATGTTTATAATATCTGCAAAAGTTTCTGTGTCAAGCAGTCGCTTTGTTCTCCTGGAGTTTGAGTACTTAATTGGAAGATGTTTATTTGATCTTTGGGAAATTTTTGTAGTCGTGTTTTACTTTTTGGTGGTGAATATTAGTCTTGGTAGGAGTATTTTGACCTTGAAAGATTAACATGAGCTTTGGCTAAGTCTTCTGTTGCTTATCTTAATGCCCAAAAGAAACAGTTTTCTTTTTCTGAATTTAAAAAATGACCTTTTGAATATAGTTGAATCATTGGCTATACATACTGCTTATGAGTTGTTCAAAATTTTTCTTTGGGAAGTACTTTCAACTTACCAGACTTGGAGGGGTTTTCATTTTTTTTAACTGCAAGTTTTTTTTAGAACTGCTGTGGTGTTAATTTTCCGCAGGTTAATTGAAATTAGTTCTCGTAGCCAAAACTTTTCACTTTTTAAATTTTGTTATTGATTCAGTTTTGTTGTAAAAGAAAATAAATAGAAAGAATTGCACTCATTTCCCCAGGTACCTTTGAATTGATGACTTAATTTTTCCAGGACTTACTGTTGTTTTCAGGAAAAGCTTGGTGGGAACTTGGGGAAAATGGCAGTTGAATTTTGTGTTAGTTTTCTGGACTGGTTTAATGATCAAATGATGAAAACTGTGAAGAAGTTGACCTTATTTGAGTGGTTTAGTTTTCACTTGGTTTTTTTCTTGGACTAAATATCATACTTTCTTGATGTATGTAAATTTATAGATACTTTGAGAGAGAATCATTTGAAAGTAGTACCAAGTTAAAATACATGTATGGAATTTTGATACATGGTTTTTCTCTTTTTAAAATGTGTTCTAATGAAGTACGTTGGTGTTTCAGACTCGCCTTCATAATGTACAGTTCAGTGTGGCCTGTGCGTATTGTTTTGTGTTTCCTGAATTGATTTTTGCCTCCATTTATTCTCTATTGCAGTCTAAAAGTTGGTTTTAATTGGTTGCCCACAGGATTGACTTGGCCTCTACTTCTTGTTAAGAAAATACATCTCTTATATTATCAGGTAAGAGACTTTGTATAGAGGGTTTGATTTTACACACCATAAAATTAGATAACTTATTAAGAAACATGAAAATATGTGTAGTAATTAAACAGTGTGTGTGCTCATAAGAATGTTTGTGTGTGTTTAGCTTATGTGACAGTTGGGATGGGGAGATTGGGGTTCCTTGGACAGTTACACCTTTTTCTGGGGGTCAGCTTTACATACATACACTTCTGCTGCATTCTTTGGCAGTAATTAGTTGGGTCGTTTTCCTTAGTAGCAGCTGAGACTGCTTAGAAATATAGATTCTTCTTATTGGTATGGTTAATCATATTCCTTAGAGGTATAGATATTAGGTTGTATCTTCAAATTTTAGACTTAAGATGGAACCTTGGAACAGTTGGGCATGTTACTATACATAAGCTAGGAGGCTCAGGATAGTTTGGAATGGCTTATCTGGCAAGCAGATACCTGGTAAGCAGAGTAAAGATGTTACTTTCTATATTTCAGAACTTAAAACCTGTTCTCATCTTCAGATGGCTTTATGAGTAAATCTTGTGCTCTATTTTAATTTAATTCTCATCTCTAAGTAACATGAGGCAGATTTTCAGTATGTGTTTTCCTGTGTGTCTTGTACAGACTCAGTGAATTCCTTTCTTAAAAGAAAATGGTGAAAGACTAATGGCGTGTGTGACTTTAGGCCTGTGTTTAATGTTTGTGTTTCTGTTTCATTATCCCAGTGCAGACTGATATTTCTTAAAGTTGTTTTGGGTACCTGGATTACCCATCATGCTTTCCCCATATAAAGTGGCTAAGCATTTTTGAAGTTGAATTGGAATGCTTTTACAATTTCGCATATAACCCCATATTTTAGAATTAGTAAGGAAGGTAGATTTGATTTAATGATTTGAAACTTGAGGAATTTCTTTATAGTTGCTAACAAAGTCTGTTAGTGTGATATTACGTAGTGTTCATTTTTCTTGTGGACTTTTGAAATTACAAAGCTTCACTCAATCTCCCCCAAGTTACTAGTGTTTTGTGGTGGTCTCACAAAGAGCATTGTGTTTGCCAGTCAGTTTGAAGATGGTTTTTTTTGTGTGTGTGTATATGAAGAAACTGTCAAACCCAAACTTTCTCTTGTATACCACAATCCTAATGCTGAAATAGAATTATACATTTTAACAGATTTGTGTATTGATTTATTTGAAAGACATAGCAACAAAGAGCACAAGTGAGAGAGATCTCATTCTTCCATCTGGTGGTTCACTTCCAGATGGCCACACAACAGCCAGGTCTGGCCAGGCTGAAGCCAGGACCCTGGCCCTCCGTACTGGTCTCCCACTTGGGTGGCAGGGGCCCAAAACACTTGGTGCATCTTCTTTTGCCTTCCAAATCATATTAACAGGAAGTTGAATCTGAAACAGGGCAACACAGATTCAAAGCAGTTTTGTGGTGTGGGGTGGTGACTTAGCTCACTGAGCCACAGTTAACAAATTTAGTTGCATTGATTTTAGTATTTCTAGAATACTTGACACTGTAAAACTGCTGGCATGGAGTTACAGAATCATAGAGCTTACATATACTAAGACTCCAAAACTCAACAGACACAGAATGAAGTCACAGAACCCAATTATTTATCTATTGGGACATATTTTTATTGGAAAGGGAGATTTACACAGAGGAGAGTCCAAGGGAAAGATCGACTGCTTCATTCCTCAAATGGTTGCAACGGCCACTGCTGAGCCAATCTTAAAGCAGGAGCCAGGAGCTTCTGTGTCTCCCTTGTGGGTGCAGGGTCCCAAGGCTTTGGGCCATCCTTGACTGCTATCCCAGGCCACAAGCAGGGAGCTGGATGCAAAATGGAGCAGCTGGGACATGAATTGGGACCCATATGGGATCCTGGCATATGCAACGCAAAGACTACCACTAGGCTACCACACCGAACTCCCAGTTTGTTTATTTAAAATATTTACTTGAAAGTCAAAGTGACAAAAAAGAAATATCTATCTTCCATGTACCAGTTCACTCCCCAAAAGGCCACAACAGCTACGCCAGAGACAGGCTGAAACCAGCAGCCAGGAGCTCCATCTGTATGTACCATGTAGTTGACATGCTCAATACCTAGCACTTATGCGTTTTTCTGCTGCCTTTCCAGGTGCGTTAGGAAAGGGATGGATCAGAATCAGAGTAGGGGAGCTCAGACCAGTTCCCTAATACGTGAGGCCCACATTGCTAGCAGTGACAAGCAGCAGCTGTGTGGAAACACTGGCTCCACTGGGCCAGAAACTGTTTCTTCTGGGTTTCCCACATGATAGCAGCTGACTGAGGAGTTGGGCCATCCTCAGCTGCATCCCCAGGTGGAAGGCAGAGAGCTGGATTTGAAGTGCAGCATTCAGGACATGAACTGTTGCCCATGTGGGATTCTAGTAAGCAGAAGAGTTAGCTTGCTGCACTGTTGCACTGGTCATATATATGTGTATGTTTGTACATGTGTTTTAGGTTGCAGACAGAGAAGTTTTATTTGTGAAATGACCAGGTGAACGTGGAAGAAGAGGGAAGGGGAAAGTATCCCTCAAGTTAGAGCCAGGGGCCAGGCGTGATAGCGTAGTGGTTAAAGTCCTCGCCTTGCACGCCGGGATCCCATATGGGCACCGGTTCTAATTCCCGCAGCTCCATTTCCCATCCAGCTCCCTGCTTGTGGCCTGGGAAAGCAGTCAAGGACGGCCCAAGGACCCTGCACCCGTGTGGGAGACCTGGAGGAGGTTCCTGGCTCCTGGCTTCGGATTGGCACAGCACTGACTGTTGCAGTCACTTGGGGAATCATTGGACGGAAGATCTTCCTCTCTTGTCTCTCCTCTGTATATCTGACTTTGCCAATGAAAATAAATAAGTCTTTAAAAGAAGAGCCAGGAGGTGGGGTCCCTTTCGAAAGGAGAGTGTCAGAGACACACACCCTGGTCCTGTATATATATATTTTTGTTGTGGTTGTTGTTGTTAGATTTATTTTATTTTTATTGTGAATTCAGAAATCCATTGGTTTCACTCCCCAAGTGACTGTAACAGTTGGGGATGCACCAATCTGAAGCCTGGAGTCCAGAGCCTCTTCCAGGTCTCTTAAGTGGGTGCAGGATCCCAAGGCTTTGAGCCATCCTCGAAACCGGCACCCATGTGTGACCCTGGTGCATGCAAGGCGAGGACTTTAGCTGCTAGGCTACTGTGCTGGGCCCTGGTCCCATATTTTTAAAGTTTTTTTTTTTTTTTTTAAGATTGCTTGATTTTTCAGTCTTGGGAACTTTAGTGCCACTGCCCCCCCCCCCCTTTTTTTTGGAAGCTCATATACAGAGAGGAAGATCGTCCATCCGATGGTTCACTCTCCAAGTGGCCGCAATGGCTAGGGCTTAGCCAGTCAGGAGCCAGGAGCTTCTTCCACACCCCCATTGCAGGTGCCTGGTCCTAAGGCTCTGGGCCAACCTTGACTGCTTTCCCAGGCCACAAGCAGGGAGCTGGATGGGAAGTGGGGCTGCCAGGGCTAGATCCTGTGCCCATATGGGATCCTGGCACATTCAAAGGCGAGGACTTTTGCTACTACGCTGCTGCACTGTGCCCTGGATTTGCATTTTAAAAGGCTTTAGAACTGAAATTTTACTTAAATGAGTGGTAAATATTTTCTTTGTGAGAGTATCAGTAAGCAGCCAAAGATCTCACAGGAGTTGGATTGGATTCTCAACTGTAACAGTCACCGAGTTAAGATGTACAGCCTAGTTCTTCTAAGACAGAAAGCTCGCTTTTCTTGTCAGGTCTTCTTTAGGGAACAAACAATTTCTTGCTTTTGTTTACTTTAAATGCTTTATATGGTAATGAGTTATTGGATTTATTTTAATTCATATGGCCTACTTGGCATTGCTACTAATTTCTGCTTTTTGGTTGATAAATACAAGTAATTCTGATTTTGGCTATCATTTCTTTTGGTATCGTCATTTATAAGAAATCTTGTGTGATTTAAATGGTAAGGCCGAGTGAAAGGTCTTAGTATGAAATGTGGAATAGATTTTCATTAGAGACTTGAAGCTGCTTTAGTGTTAATTATTATGTATAACCCATTCATATTCTAGTTTTCTGTTTGTTGGATTTTGAGAGTGAACCCCGGAAACACTCTGATTTATTCCATGAGGTTATCAGATAATATAAATAAGATGCTAAACTTTGATGTGCATTTCGCATTTGTAAAACTTTGTTTCCTGATTTGAATTACACATTTGTCTTAACTTTGTAAATGATCAGTGGTCTGAATGATGTATAAAATGGTTTCACTGCCCTACAATAATTTTTTCTGAAACTTTTGAGTCTTGGAATTGAGTTTCCAATTGTTTCTTAAATTAGAGTGTTTAATTTAAAAAAAAATAGCCTATAATAACTTGAGGGAACATTGGAGAGCTTGCTATGGTAGTTGGTCATTCTTGTAGCTAAAAACCTGGTGTGATAAAAAGGAGTCTGACCTGGCCGTTGCCTTTTCTCATCTGCAGGTGTGTGTGGTTTCAGCGCAGCATGGCTGTGGTCATCCGTTTGCAAGGTCTCCCAATTGTGGCGGGGACCATGGACATTCGCCACTTCTTCTCTGGATTGACCATCCCTGATGGGGGCGTGCATATTGTAGGGGGTGAACTGGGTGAGGCTTTCATCGTTTTTGCCACTGATGAAGATGCAAGGCTTGGTATGATGTGCACAGGTGGTACAATTAAAGGGTCAAAAGTAACACTATTGTTGAGTAGTAAAACAGAAATGCAGAATATGATTGAACTGAGTCGTAGGCGGTTTGAAACTGCCAACTTAGATATACCACCAGCAAATACTAGTAGATCGGGACCTCCACCGAGCTCAGGAATGAGTGCCAGGGTAAACTTGCCTACAACAGTACCCAACTTTAATAATCCCTCACCCAGTGTAGTTACTGCTACCACTTCTGTTCACGAAAGCAGCAAAAACATACAGACATTTTCCACAGCCAGTGTAGGAACTGCTCCTCCAAGTATTGGGACTTCCTTTGGGAGCCCAACATTTAGCTCAACTGTTCCCAGTACAGCCTCTCCAATGAACACTGTCCCACCACCACCAATTCCTCCAATCCCAGCGATGCCATCTTTGCCACCGATGCCGTCCATTCCTCCGATACCAGTTCCTCCTCCAGTACCTACCTTGCCTCCGGTGCCTCCTGTGCCCCCGATTCCCCCGGTCCCTTCTGTACCACCTATGGCCCCACTGCCACCTATGTCGGGCATGCCACCCTTGAATCCGCCACCTGTAGCACCTCTGCCTGCTGGAATGAATGGCTCCGGAGCACCTTTGAATCTGAATAATAACCTGAACCCTATGTTTCTGGGTCCATTGAATCCTGTTAATCCTATCCAGCTGAACTCTCAAAGCAGTATGAAGCCACTTCCCATCAATCCTGATGATCTGTATGTCAGTGTGCATGGAATGCCCTTTTCTGCGATGGAAAATGATGTTAGAGAATTTTTCCATGGGCTCCGTGTTGATGCAGTTCATTTGTTGAAAGATCATGTAGGCCGAAATAATGGGAATGGATTGGTTAAATTTCTCTCCCCTCAAGATACATTTGAAGCTTTGAAACGAAACAGAATGCTGATGATTCAACGCTATGTGGAAGTTAGCCCTGCCACAGAGAGACAGTGGGTAGCTGCTGGAGGCCATATCACTTTTAAGCAAAGTATGGGACCTACTGGACAAACTCATCCCCCTCCTCCGACACTTCCCAGGTCAAAATCGCCCACTGGGCAGAAAAGGTCAAGGTCAAGATCACCGCATGAGGCTGGTTTTTGCGTTTACTTGAAAGGGCTGCCTTTTGAAGCAGAAAACAAACATGTCATTGATTTTTTTAAGAAGTTGGATATTGTAGAAGATAGTATTTATATAGCTTATGGACCCAATGGGAAAGCAACTGGCGAAGGCTTTGTTGAGTTCAGGAATGAGGCTGACTATAAGGCTGCTTTGTGTCGTCATAAACAGTACATGGGCAGTCGTTTTATTCAAGTTCATCCAATTACTAAGAAAGGTATGCTAGAAAAGATAGATATGATTCGAAAAAGACTGCAGAACTTCAGTTATGACCAGAGGGAAATGATGTTAAATCCGGAGGGAGATGTCAACTCTGCCAAAGTTTGTGCTCACATAACAAATATTCCATTCAGCATTACCAAGATGGATGTTCTTCAGTTTCTGGAAGGAATTCCAGTGGATGAGAATGCTGTACATGTTCTGGTTGATAACAATGGGCAAGGTCTAGGACAGGCATTGGTTCAATTTAAAAATGAAGATGATGCACGTAAGTCTGAACACTTACACCGTAAAAAACTAAATGGGAGAGAAGCTTTTGTTCATGTAGTTTCCCTAGAAGACATGAGAGAAATTGAGAAAAACCCCCCTGCCCAAGGGAAAAAGGGGTTAAAGCTGCCTGTGCCAGGTAATCCGGCGGTACCAGGGTTGCCCAGTGCAGGATTGCCCAGTGTGGCATTGCCCAGTGCAGGTATACCCAGTACAGGAATACCCAGTACCGGAATTCCTGGTGCTGGAATGCCTGGCCCGGGAATCCCCAGTGCGGGACTACCTGGTGCAGGAATGCCTGGTGCAGGAGTACCGAGTGGAGGATTGCCCAATGCAGGATTGCCTAGTAGTGGAGGTGAAGAGCATCCCTTCTTAGCTGTAGGATCAAAGGAGGCGAGCAATGGGCCTCCATTTAACTTTCCTGGTAATTTTGGTGGATCAAATGCCTTTGGGCCACCACTCCCTCCTCCAGGATTAGGAGGGGCATTTGGTGATGGTAGACCTGGTATGCCTTCAGTTGGAAGTGGTGGCCTGCCTGGTCTAGGACTGGATGTTCCAGGTTTTGGAGGTGGACCAAATAATTTAAGTGGGCCATCAGGATTTGGTGGAGGACCTCAGAATTTTGGAAATGGTCCTGGTAGTTTAGGTGGCCCCCCTGCCTTTGCAAGTGGTCCTCCTGGTCTTGGAACTGCCCCTGGGCATTTGAGTGGACCACCAGCCTTTGGGCCTGGGCCAGGGCCTGGGCCTGGGCCAATCCATATTGGTGGTCCGCCTGGGTTTGGATCTAGTTCTGGAAAACCAGGGCCTACAGTAATTAAGGTGCAGAACATGCCCTTCACTGTGTCTATCGATGAGATTCTAGATTTCTTTTATGGCTATCAGGTGATTCCAGGTTCAGTATGTTTGAAATACAATGAAAAAGGTATGCCCACAGGTGAGGCCATGGTGGCTTTTGAATCTCGGGATGAAGCCACGGCTGCTGTTATTGACTTAAATGACAGACCTATAGGCTCAAGGAAAGTAAAACTTATATTAGGATAGCCATTCACGTCGACTCTTTCTAGGGTAGATCTTCATATTGCTGTGATTAATGCATTCAGATTGTTTTCCTAGTATTTCCAGGTTAGAATCTGTGGACTGTTTTGAGTTGCATAGATTGGTTCCCATAACATAGAGCATTGTTAACTGTTTACAGAAGACTCACAATGGGATAAACCTTGTTGTATTTTACAGTAAAGCTGTCTGAAAAGAACAAAAATGATTGACATAACGTCAGAGAAACCGTTTGTAAATCTCAACTGATTGCATAAAGCTTATCAAGGAGCCTAGATTGGTTTTGTTTCATACCACATGGGATGAAAAAATAGAAATGTCAGTAGAGCTCATTGAGTGTGCTCTTGCCAGCTGTGGAAAAAATATTAAGTTGGCTACTCCTGGAATTTGGTTTAAAGCTGGACGGATTTGCTTTGTTGTAGGGTCAAAGCTTTGTCTAAAGTCCTCGTTTTCTTTTAAAACTGAATAAAATCTCTGTATACAGATTCATTGTATGTACTTTTATTGCTTCTTGAAGGTTCTTGCTGTACAGACAGTCCTGCTTTAGAAATTGCTGCTTTGTTTCCCTGTTTGACTGATATGTAAATGAGCAGAACTGCTTCGTTGGGGTTTTTCCCCCTAAAATACAAAACTCCACACATGGTTTGTGCTATAACCTTGAACTTTGATTTCTAATGTCACACTTAAAACTGTGTGGAATAAGACTTTTGCCATAAAAATAAACTGAAGTCTTCTACCTACCAGAGCCTTTTTGGTTTGATCGCCAAGTTTAGTGTAGACAGTTTAAAAATTGCTCATGTTATTTTGATGACAACATAAACCAGAAGCCACTTGTAATAATTGAAAGATGCTTACTTTGAAGCCCTATTTAAGGTGGACTTATTTTTCGGTCAATTTTGGTATGTCCCAGTTTATGTGGCCTTTAAGTAAATGAGAGGTTTGCTCATAAAAAAATGTCGTTGTTATCTAGGCCTTATAAAACACAAGTTGAAATTGGTAGCCTTGTTAGCTATAGCAGTAAAGAACAAAAGATCCTAAACTGGTCTGTAGATAATATGTGTAGTCCTGTCACCTGAAGATGGTTTGGTGGTATAGCTTGATGTGTAGGCTGTGTACAAAAATTCATACAATTGCAGAGGAGAGAAAGTGAGGCTCCTTGCTCTGTCAAATACCTTTTTTTTTCCCTTTGGCAATCAGGACACTAAGGCAGGAGGACCACATGGGTTCTGGTTGGTAAATGTCCTTGTCATGAAAGGATTTGCGTACAATGTTCTGTTCATTGCCACAAAAAGGCTCTACTTAGAATTGCTTTCCTTAGTTAAAATGCACTAAGGATGGGTCACCTGGCACAGTAAACGTACGGAATGGAAGATTGGTAGATAGCATGAAAAGCAAATTTTGTCTTCTATATGATCCTCTCGCCTTGATTTGAAACATCCTCAACATTTCCTGTAGGTCGATGTATTTTCAAAGGTGTTAGTCGTTTAAAAGAAGTATTTGCTATTTAAAAATACATACATAGTGCCTTTTTGGTGTTGCAAGTCAGTGGGACGCTGAAAAACAGCGTCTCGTGTACTTCAGAGTTATGAGTGGCAATAATTTAATTTGTGTAATAAGATTTAAGATTTGACATTCTCAGAGGACTTACAGAACTGGATTTCTTTGAGGGACAGGATTGTTTTAGACTTTGAAAAAGAGGTGGCTGGGTTGTGGGTCTTTTGATAATTTAGATACAGATTTGCTTTGACAGAGCCCTAGATACTGCCTCCTCAACTTAAAAAGCAATATGTTTGTATATGCTGTTTGATTTACATTTTCTGTTAAGTTGTTTCTGATTCCAGAGACAGAGTGCAAAACACAGCAACATTGCTTGGGAGTCTATTTCAACTGCAGATTTTATTCTCCCCATTGGAAATCTATTTCCATTTTAGAAAAATGAGTTGTCTGAAGATCAAAGTCTTTTATCATTTTTGCAGTTTGATTATGTTTATGCATTCATATTAAATAATTCATACTCTATTGCAACTGCTTTGTTATTTCTACATCTTAGATAAATACTGAAAAGGAGAACTTTCTTTCATTGTTCATCAAATTAAATAAATTGAGAAAATAGTGGTTTGTGTAGAAATTGGAGAGAACTATGTTTCATTTCATTGAATCACAGCAGTGCGTCTTGTTGTGAAATGTAATTAAATGCTTTGCGTTCTGGAACTTCGTTTTTGTGTATCTGATACTTATTAACATAGTACTAACTGCTAAGCATACTGTTTATCTTGTTCTGGGTATTGGAGCCTTCAGTTTTTAAAAAATTCTTTAAAAGGTGTTATGTGAAACTGGTCATACCTCATTTTCCTGAAAATTTTCTTCTTAATCTAGGTTTGGGGTGGAAATGAATTTATTTTCTCATTTACTTTGCATGGTCCAAAGGGTTTGTAAAGCTTTGCTGAAAGTCGTGTTCATTTGTAAACACTATCGTGATACTCAATTATATGTGTATATATTTGTGATCACTAACATTATTGGAAGAGATTCTTTAGTTTCTTTTCCTTCTACTGAAGTTTTTTTATCTTTTTTTAGTTTAAAGGATCAGACAAATTTGCAAATGTATTATAAATAAGCAAATTTGTAAAGATTTCTGAATTTCTGTGGAACATTTAGTTTGAAAGCATAATTTGGAGGTGTGTTCTATGTTACATGTTAGTTTGGATGTGCAGTTACTAGTGGCTTTATTTTTAATCCAACACTGTGTTAAGTGAGATGTAGTTCTTGGCTTTGTTCTCCAGGTAGTCAAAGCATCAACGATGAAAAGTTCAGTAGGAAACTTGATTCAAAATTTCAGATAGCAATTTGAGCAGTCAGCATAGTTAAGGGTCAGTAGGTAAAGTTTAGGAGACTGTGTAAGGAAGTAAGCAAGTATGTATAAAAGTAAGGGTATATAAAAGCCTTAAACTCCGAACTCAGAACATAACTGCATTGTTATTGTGTACAGGTGTGGGTCAAGTGTGTAAAAATAACATCTTACCAATTTTAAGAACACTTGAAAAATAAAATGCTGAACTGCTGCTGATTAAATCTTCTGGAAAGAATTTCTGGCAGTAATCACTCAAAATTTCAAAGTTGCCACATTTAAATTGTTTCACTGGCAATTCCACTGTGTCCAAGCTTCAGAAACCAAACACAGTAAAATGGCTCCCTGTCAGTATAGCCACATCATTGCCAGCAAATACTGCCGAGGCATCATTCAGCAAAGATTTTGTTTAAAGATGAAGTATTGCATACTACTGTTCAATAAACTTGTCACAAAATAAAACAGGCTGATGCTTTCAATGCTTTAACTGTACAGAGAAGTACATCAGGTTTTAAACCCCTGGACAAACATGCCTTGAAAAGGTGGATTTGGTGATCTTGGAGGTAACGATTGTTCTTTATCTACTTAAGCTGAAATGTGGAAAGAAGAAGATACTTGACTGGTAGGGAGAAAATTGTTCTTGGTCAAATCCATGCTACCCACATTTTGTGCATTTTATCATATATGCCTTTTGCTACTAAATTACTTAAAAACACAGAAAGAGCCAGGGATTGATCACATATTTTTTGACAGACATCTTAAAGGGATTTGTGAATTCCGGTTTCAAAATACTGTGACAACAGTAGGAAATTTTCAGAATAGGTTCTTAATTTCACAATCCTCAAGCTTTGGTTTTTGCTTTTGCGTTATTATGGTATGTTGTCTATTTGAGGTGGAGAAGAAAGAGAAATGGAAAATACTGCTGCTTTCTAATGTGCTGATTTTCTGCCTCCCGCATTTGTTTATCTTCTGAAAAAGAAAGTGGAAAGTTAGTTTCAGCTTTACAGAGGTGTTTTTTTTTTATTATTTAAATAAAATCTAGATTGGGCTTCATTGAAACCCATAGAGTGTTCTTTATAACCAAAGTGATTGAAAAATATATAACTTTTTATGTTGAAAGGGTTTAAACAGGCGTTGTATGTGAATCTTCTGTTTGTTCTAAAATGGCATATGCTAGACATAATTCCTGGTCGTAGGCGATCAAGGTGTAACTAAGCATTTGAAAATCATTGCGTGAAATCAGCCTGCAGGTATCCAGGATGTCGCTTATCATCTGAAAAGGTTGAGTTCTGTGTGGTTGTCTGCTTCTTGTCCTGGAAGTGTTGTTTCTGCAAGTTAGTATTTGCTTTCCGGTATTTTTTGGAAAGAAGTGGTTTGTTAGATATATACTCATAACTGTTTTTCTAAAATGTTAAAGTGTTTTTGTTTTGGTTTTTCTTGAGGAAGGATGGGAGTTTTAGCCTATGGCCTTGCCCACCACCCTCCCTCTTAAGTTGCTTGATTTATCTGTTAAGTATGCAGCTAATAGATCAAATTGACTTATTAAATGTCTGGGGAAGTATACTCTGATGGTAGCAGGATTCCTTGGTGCTGTAGTGATTTTTCTAGGAAAAGCATACCGTAAGTAGATTAATCCATTGGTACCTACTTGAGCTGTTTGTCAATTTCAAATGCACTGTAGAATGTAGCTCCTTTTCCCCGTCAACATGACTAACGTGCAACCCGACGTGGTGGTTCCTGCATCACTGTACTACTGAAGTGTCAAGAGAAATAAAAAACTGCCTGATAGAAACTTTCCAGCCCCAGATCCAGAGCAGCAGTACTTGGGAGCAGGAAATCTTGTTAATTAATGTCCTTTGAATTTTGTCGAGAGCTGGGAACCTTTTATTAACATGTTGAAGATTAAGCCTAGAGATTGAGCACACACTTGTAGAGAAGTAGTAACTGGCACAGCAGAACATTGCATTTGGCAGATAGCTGGAGATGTCTGCACTCTGACCTTACTTCTCTTTACAGATTTTATTTGAAAGAGAGTTGGAGATATTTTTCCATCCATTAGTTCATTGCTAAAATGGTTGGAAAGTCCAGGGCTGCACCATCAGAAGCCAGGACTTCGGTTCTTTTCAGGTCTCCCATGTGGGTACAGGGGCCCAAGTCCTTGGGCCATCTTTCCCAGGTGCATTAGCAGAGAAGTGGATTGAAAATGGAGCTGTGGAAGTGGAATTTGCACCTATATTGGATGCCAGCTCTACAGAGTGGCTTGACCTGACTTAAGTAACACTGGATCCCAAAGTCACCTTTAAATCAAACTGATGGTTTGTCATTTCATTTTGAGAAGGGGAGATAAAACTTCAGCAGTAACCAGTAAGAATACTGAGCAGTGAAAAGTGTTGAATCATTGACTCATTCCTAGAGCAAGCTCTGTTATAAACCAGCAATATATCTTAGTGTTTGAGTCTCTGTATCCTGCCAGTTCCTCCTCTTACACTTGTTGGTAGCCAAGAGTATGAGTTTCTCTCGCCTTCAAGCTGCCACACTGTTCTAACTCCATTCTCCTAATGAGCAGTGATAGTAATATTTATTCATTTTTACGGCAAAGCCAAATATACAGAGAGAAGGAAAGACAGGAAGAACCTTCGTCCGATGATTCACTCCCAAAGTGACTGCAACAGTCAGTGCTGTGCCGGTACAAAGCCAGGAGCCAGGAACTTCCTCTAGGTCTCCCACACGAGTGCAGGGTCCCAAAGCATTGTACTGTCCTCGACTGCTTTCCCAGGCCACAAGCAGGGAGCTGGATGGGAAGTGGAGCTGCAGGAATTAGAACCAGCGCCCATTTGGGATGCCGGCGCATTCAAGGTGAGGACTTAAGCCACTAGTCTACTGCACTGGGACCACAAATGACTTTTTGTTAAGATTTATTAATTTGTATTGGAAAGGTGGACATACAGAGAGGAGGAGAGACAGTGGAATATCTTCCTTCTCATGATTGACTCCTCAAGCAGCCTCAGTAGCTGGCTGGAGTTGAGCCTATCTGAAACCCGGAGCCGTGAGCTTCTTCCTGGTCTCCCACGCTGGTGGCAGGATCCCAAAGCTTTGGCTACAAGCAGGGAGCTTGATGGGAAGCAGAGCTGCCAGGGTTGGAACTGGC